TAAATCTTTTCTCATAGAAAATAAAGTAGAAATACTCCATAATGAAATCAATGATCTTGAAAGTATTCGTCAACGACTGGCTGACTTTCTTTGTGAGGAGACAGCTTCCTTTAAATTAGAAGAGTGCTTCAAAGTGTTTCACAATTTTTGCTCGAGGTTTAAAGCAGCCCTACAGGTGATTTAAAAATATATTTATCAGAAATAAATTAATTATTTTAGCTACATGAAGACAACGAAACTCACTGATAACTAAATTTTAGAAAAGTAGACAATCTTTTGATGATCCACTGTCCGAAGAGCGCATGGGCTCGTGAAATTGTGACGGTGTTTAACAAGAGGAATTAAGGAGCAACAAAAAATTTGACAATTCACATTTTGGTTAAAATTAAAACAGTTAAAATCAACTGATTAAATACTTAAATTACCATTCAATCATTATTATTTTTGGTTACAAATGCCATTTAAACACCTAAAGTTTAAAAACAAAACTTAAAATACTATCTGTAATGAATTGTTTGATTCCGAACCGCAAGTATATGTTCAAGTAATATAGTGAGAGATGTGTGATGAAGATATGACCATTTATGGTCAGACGACTCAGCACTATATACAGATTTTTTAAAGAAAATAAATAAACTCTGAGGACCTTTTTTTTCATTTCACAGTAGCAATAAAATTATTATTTATTTAACTAAAGTTTATTAAATAATTATTATGTAATAAAATAAGTATAATTTAATTTATTAAGTAATAAAAATAATTTTCTCTTTATCAATATTCGTGATTACGTCTAAAATTATTAAAATATGTATCTTAGAAAGAGACGTGTACAGGATATACGTATACAGGATGTCCCAAAACTCATAAGGCACTAGAAAATGACAGGAAACAACTAGACAAGCACAAATCCCCATACAATTCATGGTCCGAACGCAAGTCGAAACTCTTTAGAGGGCTCGGTTTTTTCCTCTGGGTCTCAACTTAAGATTTTATGTCTTGACTTTTTCTTCTGAGATCATATGAAAAGATTCGTCTACGACGATGCTTTCCATGAAGAGCTAAGGTGGCTCGTTGGGTAGAGCGCTCGCCAGACAAAGAGATGAACCGGGATCGAATCCCAGTGATTGCTGTTCGATATGAATCCCGCTCCCAGCTTGCACAGACCACAGTGTTGACGTAAAAGATCCATCCTCAGTAGTAGATTCAATACTCATAGGATAGAATCCCCCTGCTGTCAGATTGTAGGAGATTTTCGTGGTTTTCCTAACCATGTAACACAAGTGCGGGTTAACTCCATCAAAAAGCCCGCCACAAAGGAAAATTTCAGCATGGTGTTTTTTTTCTTTCTTATTTTTGCGCATTGTGCACCAAGTTTCGGGAAGCCCTGTATATTTTAACATATCCTCCTGTCCCTGCTTTGACAAAAATAATCGTGGTTTTTCAAATCAGATAAGAAAACCGCATTAAGTCTACAAAGAGCTGGTAACATTTTGAAGTAAAAAAGGCTTATTTAATTACAGCTATAAAATGATATAATTTAAATTATATTTATTATAATTATATACATTTTTTATTTATTTATTATTTAAATTTTTTATTTATTATTTAATTAATATTAATTTATATTTATTATTGCAACAAAACTTTAACTTAATTACGACAATTTACAAAATTTAGGAAAATGAAAGACGTCAAAAGCAAGAGAAGATGGCAGAGGCGCGACGAAAACAACGCGAAGAACAAATAGCCTTGAAAAGAAGGAGCCTGGAGCGTAAGTAACAGGAGTTTTAGCTCTTTGATAGATACCGCGAAAGAAACTTTCCATCGCAAAATCTGTTTTATCTCTATTGGTACATTAAAATTTAAAGCTTAGAGAAAATTGAGTTTAGGTAAAATTAGAGAAAGCAATAGTTTCATGTCTTGAAAAATGTTTTCAAAATATCAAAATCCAAATAAACTATAGGAACGTAAAGGCCTGTTTACACGGTTCAAGTTCTTGAATCCGAGAAATTGGATGATTTGTCGACACTATCCAAACTCTTGAATGTCACTGATTGGTCGGATGAAAAACCTGCACATGTTCATATTCAACATTATAAAATCACACTTACTATGAAGTTAAAATTTCTAAATAAATTCAAATAAAATCAATAGACCGCAACAGATTAATTTTTTTGGACTGAAAAAGATGAAAACGGAGAACAAATTGACATAATCTGATGCCTATTCATTACTATTGAAATTTTAATCTCTAATAAAAGAAAATGTTTATCTTATGACTCCAGAACAATTTGCGTCAGGGTCACAACTTCATTCTCCGATTGCAAAAATCATATAAAAATTTTAATTAATACTTTCGGGTACGACGTACGAAAAATAAATCTTTTCTCATAGGTTTATCATTAAACAATGCTAAAAGACGCATCTGTTTACACAGTTATTCAAATAACAACATCAGCGATGTTTGCTAGTTTACAGCTTTAATTGATCAGAAATGAGTTTCGAGTTTATCGCTCATATTTTACTAATTATCTGTCTTTGATCGATTAAGTTAAACATAATCAAAATCTTCGAATTAGTAATTTGAAAACATCAATCAGCAAACATCAGCGTGAAGTTAACATCAGCAATTAAAAATAATTTATGCATTAAAGTGAGAATTAATTAGAAAAATTGCTTGGTTGTAATTGATTAATCTTGGTAAAATATGCTGGCTTCGACTAATAGCATCATTTTCAATGCTAAACCAATACTCAGTATATAGAGTATACCTTTTTTTTTCGCGGTGTTGATCAGAAGGCAAGAAATAATGATGTAAAAATTCAAAATGATTTTAACTTTATTTGTCTCGCTAAATGCTTTTCTGTTTTATGCAGGATTGAGGTAATTGATACACATTTGTTATGTATGTTTCTTTCACCTCGCGCACGATGACGAAAACGTTGGTATTCAGATAGTTTATAATAGAACAAATAGAACTGTCAGAGATCGGGAAAATTAAATAATATGGCAAAGAATTGTTGATACAAAAGTGGTTCTGAATTCTTTTTCACATCATTAAAAATAGCATTTTGTTTCTAGTTCCAGATCCTAGATCTATCGGTGACGCCGATCATATTATGGACCAGCTGCTTGGTGACATCAGAAGTGGTTTTGCAGAACGACGTTTGGGTGATATCTACCGTAGAAGCAAAAGTTTCAACCCGCAAGACAAAGATACTTTGAATGGCAGATATGAAGAGAGCAATCGCAGAACACAGAATGCACTTAAAAGGCACAGCGATCCATCGATGTTTGAAAAAAGCAGAGGAATACTTTATCAAAATGAGAAGTCAGGTCTGATGAAAAACAGAAAAACTGGATTTTTGGATGAATCGAGCGAAGAAATAATAGGCTTTTTACAAAATGTGGGAGACTCTGATCAAAAAGAGAAGAGATTGTTTGGCAGCACTGAAGATGGATTAGAGAGAGTATCTTTTCGAAGGTCTGGTCGAAGAAAACGAATCGAATACTTAAATGGCGATACAAATGCTAGAGAACGTTCGGGGGTATCTCCTCCACCATCGGTATCTTTACAGACAGTTGAAGGTTTAGAAATAGAGCCTAAACAAAATCTTAGAGCTAAAATAAATGATTGGATGCTCCAAAATGAAAAAGAACAGAGAAAAGATTACGACTTGCAAGCAAAACTTCAGCAAGAGCGAAAACGTAGACAAAAATTGAACGGACAGATATCAATAGAAAATGACGCCAAAGAAATTTTGAAAGACATAGACGAGGTCGATACTAATAAACATGCAACAGGAGAAGATAAAAAAGATGTAAATCATAAATTCGGCGACGATTTCAAATTGACGAAAGCAGCTCAGTTACGACACAGTGATAGTTTCACTCAAAAAATCTTGGGATTACTTGACGCAGTATCTAATGACACGAAACCATTTGCTAAAACCAGACTGTATCATAGCACCAGGGAAAAGAAAGTTGAAAAAGATGATTTGGAAGAAAAATCAAGGGATGATTCTGATTTGTGTAGTATGAAAGAACAAAACCCGTCTAATCAGACGAAAATAAATGTTCCACCAAGTTCGTTGAATTTAGAAGCAGTGAAAGAAGAAGATAAAAAACTATCAGGCAACGCAGAGAGCAATTTCGATCGGTTTGCTTCAACTAGGAAAACGCTAAGGCGTTTGAAATTGCGAGAAATGCGAATTGAAGCAGAAAATGTTAACAAAGCGAAAACTGGAGAACGAAGTACTTCTAATGGAAAAATAGATAATTTATCTATGCCTGATAATGTTACCGATCAGAAAAAAGTAGAACAGTGTGTTAACGATGAAAGTAGTCAGCATAATGTGAAAGATCAAATCGATACGTCTCGAACATGTTCACCCGAGTCTTTGGATCCGAATAACCAATCTCTGATTTCTGACAAAGAAATCGTAACAAATGCGCAAGACACAATATCTCCAATAAAAATGGGTGAACAAAATACGAACGCTAACGAATCCATAGAAAATAAGGATCCTAATTCTTCGTTTCCACAACGTAGTACATCCATTAGATCCAGACAATCACGATTAGCCAGAAGAATCAATTCGCTATCGACTCCTGTCACATCGCCGACTTCTAATGAAAACAATTCAGTTCTAAAAGCGAAGGACGATTTGGTATCTCAAGACGAAAATTCCATAGAGGATGCTACAAAATCACACATTCAAGGTAACTTGGAAACCAAGACCACGATTAAAAACGTCATCATAAAAGAAAACGAGAATCACATAAAACATACGCCTGAATGTGAGAAACAAGAGCATTTACCTCAAAATTCCGCAGAAACTGATGGAAAAGATCCAACAGAATTGAATGGTAACACTAGTCAAAAATCAAACCTAAAATTAAATGGACTTATTTCTCACGAAGTTACAGTTAATACAGAAACAAAAAGTGAAGTAGTTCTGCCTAAAACGAATAAACTAAGTAATAAAAGTTCTAAAGAGACAGTGCCAAAATCTCGGATATCGTCCACTCAAAAATCTACATCTAGTATTCCAAGCGTTATTAAAACAACCCAAAATGTTAAAGTCCATCAAACAATCCATAGGCAAGCATCTATGACCAACGGCAAAGTTGCTGCTCAAAAATCTGATTCTAAGCCAAAGGGAAGCCCCGTAGTGACAAAAAAGGTGCCACTTAGATCAACGTCGAGTGCAATGAAAGAGAAACTAAATGACAACAAACTGAAGACTGAAAATCGAAAGAATGGAGAAAACAGCCCAACGTCTAGTATTTCATCAGTGTGCAGTCTGAGCACAAATGTGAATCTACAAAATGGAAAAGTTGTGAATGGCAAAAACATTCAACCAATTAAGAAAATTACAATTAATCATAATGGAAGTGTGAAATTTTCAAAAAGTAGTGTGTCTTCAAGAAAAACTTCGAAAACTGCATCTAACACTTTAGCTAACAGTAATGCAAATGTTAATAAAATAAATGAAACAGTAATTAACAAAAAAGATAAGAATAGTAACCTAATTAATAAGAGAGCTTTCATATGAAGCGTCTTTTGTAGTCTTGAAAATCAAATCCAGTACAAATTCTCATTTTATTGCAATTTTATTTATTATAAGTGTAGCTACCAAGATTCAGTTTTCATTTCATTTGCTTAGAATAAAAAAAAATATATTTATAGAAATTGAGTATTTTTTCTAATTTAAATTTTATTTCGTTAGAAAATCTGAAAAAATGTTTTAAATAAAAATTACTTTCATTATTTATCATTGAAGCACTTGTTAATGAAATTGTAAAAAATTTAAATCCTTTTTTCATGCAATAATAATATATTTTTAGATAAAAACATAAAAATGATTTCAATTTTATTTTTATACACTTTTTTTTTTTACTTTGACTTGCAAGCCAAAGATTCTTCCATTTTTATCATTTTATGAATCTGTAAATATTTTGAATAAAAAGTATTAATTCGTATTCATGTTGGCCAATTTTATTCTCATTTTTTTTTCAACACTAAGTTATCATCCGCGAATTGTAGATATTTTTTATGGGAGTACGGACTAGCCAAACAAACATCCAGTCAGAGGTTAAAATTTAACTTTAAATTTTTATAAAAATTTTGTTAACTTATTTAAATTCATCTGTTGTGATTTTTAAAATACTATTTTACAATGATAAAAAAAAAATATAGTAGGGCCTCGATTATCCGAAATTAGTAACATTGCAATTTTGAATTGCAGATAGGGGTAACTTTTTTTAAATCTCACTTAACTTCTTCATCAATAAACTCTTAAAATTTATTTTAAAATTATAGTGCTAAATAAAATTTAACTTTTAATATGACCATCTAATAAATATTTTTTTGTCAAATAATTTTGTCCTTTTTATTTTAATTTTACTTGTACAATTAATCCAGATAGCGTTACTCCGTGTCTTTTTTTTGAATAAATCATTTAGTTGAATAAACTCCGAAAATAAAATTCTTAAATTTTTATGTGAATTATTAAATAACTCTTCGGCCCCAACAATAAAACTCCATTCATGTAAAAAAGTTTTTAAAAGTATGTTAAAACCCGGTTTTGTCGTATTCATATAAATCAGATAAGTATATAAGTAATGAGAAAAAAATTATTTTGTTACATTCTGAAATATCTATTAATAGCAACATATTAAAATTTAGTCTCTCCGACACTAATAAACATACCGGGGTTAAACAATCAAAGAATATTTTTGGAACTTACCACAAGTTAAATGATTAGATTTAATAGAAATCACTAATAAAACTTTGATCGTTTTCCTCTGCAATGCTTCAGGCTTCATTTGTCCATTGGGATTGAGGCATTTTAAGGAAGAAAAAAACAACAACTTGGGATAATTAAACGGAATGAAAAATCTGCTTCGACAATTGAAAGCAATAGGTAAAAAGAGACGTAATCAGGGGTTTAACTCACCTAAAACAAGTCTTCAAACAATTAGAAACTACAGAATGAAATTGATGGAGTTAACATCCTAATCTTCTTATCGAATTTTTTAAAAACACCGGCATCGACAAGCAAACAGCTTACTTAGCTTTTCATTCATCGCCATCAAATAACATGGCGTCTGCTTGCGAATTAATTTTATGTGAATTTTAATCAATGGCAGCAGTAATTTTTTAGTCAAAAATACCAAGTTTCAGTTTTATCCATCTGTTTGGTTTTGACCAACTATTATCTTGAAAGCAACATTTAAATCAGAATTTTAAAATGATTTCACAGATTTATATTTCTAGGCGAAATTAATAAAAAGTTCCTTTTGATTACATTCGCACTAGGATACATTTTGCTTGCCCAGATAACATAAGTTTCATCGAAGTGCAAGCCATCATGATCAGACTAAACTATATTAACAATAATAATTAGGTAGATTAAACAACAAAAATTACAGCTCTTAGCGTTTTCTTTTCTTCTCTTGACAATTTAGAGCTACCAACTTCACTAACAAAACGCTTATTTGAATTGATATCTCACAGATCGTAGATTCGGTTCTGAGTAGATTACCGAAGCCAAGCCTCACCACCAGCGGCTAGTGAGCGGGTGGGTGACTATTTTGCACGAGGTGATTTGCAAAACCGAGAATATGCTGTATCGGTCTACGTTAAATTGTTCCACCGTAAAGTGCTCAACTTCAAAAGCAGTTAGTCGGGCTACCCCTCTTCAGAGGATCAAATGTCGTTAAATCATTCTTAGGGATATTTCCCAGACCGTTGACCAGCTCTAGTGTAACGTAAATAAAGTACTCTTGAATTCATGCTCAAGTTTTCCTTAAGAAATATTTATTAGAATTACGAGTTAGACAAAATTTAAGTAATTATAAGCTTAAATTTACTAAAATCGTAATTAACTTACGTTATAAATAATTTGAAAACACTTCATAACTAAACAAGATGTAAATTTAGTTTAATGTAACGAACAGGGGGTCCTTGATAGTTCTGTGCCTAAGCCCCCGCATTTCCAGATCCGGCCCTGTTGATTGCTCACAATAAAATGATCATTTTAAAATAGTCGGGCACTACAACGAGTTTTTTATTTTGAAGTAGATTATTATGAAGTAGTATAGCTGAATTGTAAGAATATATTATAAAAATCGAACAATGTGCGCTTAAAATTTATTACTATTAATTGACTTTGGCTAACAGAAGTATTTTATTTATGTCGCACTAGAGCTGCTCAACGGGCTTTTGGCGACGGTCTGGGAAACATCCCTGAGGAAGATATGAAGACATGCCTTCACCATTTTGTGATGGCATGATCCGCTTTGGTAGCCCAACGACCTGCTCGCGAATTCGAGCACTTTACGGTAGAACAGTTTAACGAGGACTGATACCGCGCACCCTCGTTCCCTACACAGGCTGATCAAAGTGGTCACCCACCTGCTTACTGACAGCAGCCAGTGATGCTTGACTTCGGTGTTCTGCTGGGAACCATGTCTTTACGATCAGCCCACTGCGGGAAGGGTAACAGAAATATTCAAATATTAAAAATTCTATTGTATGTGGAAACAGCAAAGTAAACAAAATGATATTTAGTTTTAATATGCGTAAGAAGATAAACTTTTCAACTGAAAAAACTATAGTCGTTTTATGAGAAATAATTAAACATTTTATTTAAAGAAATTTTAAAAAAAATGGAAAAAACAAAGAAAAGCCACTGTTTTTTTTTAATGGAAATAATTAAACATTATATTTTTCAAATTATTTTTAAATAAAGTCATTTTTTTTTTCTTTCTGCGAATTTAGTTTCTTTAAGTTTTGTGGTATATAACTTACCAAGAATGTATACAAATACTAAACTGCAAAGAAGTATAAGTATTAATAGGCTATGGACTGCTGATATGCAATTGATGCATGGTAGAGCAGATGGCACTGAGTGTAACACAGTAGACGTTTCAACAGCATTACCCAACAAAACGTTGTCTGCACGCATAATCGGCACAACCAATTCGAGAACAACAGGGACCTTCCAATTACCACTGCTTGATATAGGGAAAGCACGCAATACACGATTTCAACTGAAAATTTCAAAAATGGAAAAAAACCGTGCTACAATTAATGCACTAAGAGTTGCAGATGAACTTCATGTTCTGTCTCGTACGGTTTGAAAATGTTTTGCACAGCGGCAAGATGCATCCTTTCCACTTGCGAAATATACAAACTTCTAACCGAAGACGGCTATCATTGTGAAGAATTCGTGCCCTAGATTCTTAATGTCACGGTACATCATTAATTTCTTCGCAGTTTTATTTATTGACAAAGCCACGTTTAGCGTGACATTATGAATTTGTCGGTCACATTTTGGAATACCCTTTATTTTAAAAGTATGAAAATGTCCTTGTGCATTTATTAAAAACGTAAATTTAATTAAATTTCAGCTAGAGAACAATAACATTCTAATAAAAAAAAATTCCATTAAAATTAGAACTTTATTAAGCAATTTATGAAAATATTTTTCATCGTAAAATTCCTTGTCAATACTTATTAATTGGATCGAAGTAGCCGTACAGTGGGCAGATAGTAAAGACACAATTCCCAGTAGATCACTTAAGTCTAGCATCTCTGACTGTGGGCGAAAAGTGGTTTGTAACCATTTTAATCAGCAGAAGGGACCAAGGGTGCGTAGTATTTGTCTTCGTTAAATTGTTTTACTGTAAAGTGCTCTAGTTCGCTCGCAAGTCAAAGTCGCCCTTTGCAGAGGAACAAAATTGTGATGGCATGCCTTCCATTCATTTTCAGAAATGTTTCCAAACCATCAATAATGATCCATTGTAGTACAGTTCTAGTGCATGTAAATAGAGTTACTAAACTGAATTCAGTTGAATGTTGCATTAGCAGACTTGAACAGCATCAGTACTTCATATTGAAGCCTCAGGTATAATTTCAAATTATAGCTTTCATATATAATATCAAAAATTAAGACAAGTCGTCTACTACTACGCTTGCCTTCTATGCAACAACCACATTTTGCAACTAGGTTCAAACAGGCAATAACTTATACATTATAAATAAGTTTTTGGTCATACCATTCAAGGATTTATGATAAAATAGGATACCAATTTTGAACTACTTCCTTACTAATAAAATAAGAATCATCATGTAAGATTTGTATAAAAGCTTAAAATGATTCAGCAAATCATCTGAATAGCAGAAGCTATCTGTATATCCTTACGTTTATTGACTCACTTTTAGCATTGCACCACTAATTAGATTGTTTTTCTTCGCCGTTGTTTGAACACTTATTGTAATCACATGCCATTAAATTCATCGTTCTTTGTGCGTTTTTGCCTCATATAAGAACATAAACTTTGACGCCCTCTAGCGGTTTTGCGTTTTGCTTACGACCATGTATTCTTTGATAAAAATTGTTTGATTGGGTGTGTACTATCACTTCCTAAAATTTTGCCCATCTTTTTAGAATCACTCTGTATAGTGAACCAAAGGAAAACAGGAAATTGATATAATGAACTTTTTCTGTCTTCGACTAATTTTTTATAATAATTTCGAAATTTCTACTTCAAAATAAAAATGTATACTGATTTTTAAAACCATATATAGCATGGAATATATTGACTGCATATACAAATTTTACAACTTTAATTTTACCATACAGTGTCTTAGAACTTGTCATTATAGCAGATTTCTCATAATATTCTAGAGCATAAGCTGATACTTTGTGATGTTGGCATTTCGATATTATAGCCTTGTCAGGATTTCATCACATAGCCAATTTTCCTAGAAAACGATTCTGTATAAATTTATTAATATTGCAAGAAACTCATTCAAAATTTCTTTTTTCAACTTGTAATAATTCTTGTTAGAAGCTTAGATATCTAAATAAGCTATATTTTGTATTTGCAAGAAGGCTAGTGTTTTAAAATAATTATTTACAAACATAACAGAAAAAAATTTATTATCGGTAAAAAAAAAAACTGAAGCTCAACTGGAATACATAATTTACAATTTTTTATTACAAGAAAGCATGCATATCTACAACAGACTGAAAGTAAAGGCATTGTGTTGTAAATGGCAAATTAAAGCGGATTTTTTTTTCTTTTTAATTCTTGGTTAAATAATTTAAAAAAAACTTTACAAAATAGCAAACATTTCTCACATAATTTTAACAGAAAGTTTTTTTTTTTATTAAAAATATAGAAAGCAACATTAAATACTGTATGACAAATTCTCTAAATTATTATTGAATGTATTGATGCAGAGATCTCTGAGTTATAGTAATCATAATAAATATACCTACTCCAAAAGTGCAAAAAAAATTTTTAATACATATTTAGAAACAGGATTTATAGAATAACTTAAAATATTAAATAAAAAATTAACTAAGAAATACAAATCAATATCAAAAGCATTCATTGTAAGTACTGAATTAAAAATTACGTTATTATAATTTTTCTTTAAAAAAAGTTATAAATAAAATCTACATGGCACCATACACTACAAGCATTTCACGCAGAAGAAAACTTGAAGTGCCATATTAAGATAAAAATAAATGCTAGAAAAGCCTCTATATTTTTTTCATTTGTAAGAGACGTAACGAGAAAAAAAACTTCAATTAGTTATAAAAATGTTTAAAACAAATGTTTAATTACCTTCAATTGTTAATAAAATAAACACATGGAATTTATAATTTTAGTGAGACAGTTAACAGTAAAATTTATATACTCACACATGGTAATACATATTTATCACAGATGAGGTTAAAACAGAGCATATATAATAAATTTTCAGCATAATAAAACAAAATTTCTCACTAAATTGTGCACTAATATATATACAGCTCTCAGCACAATTAGAAAAATGAATTCCACAGAGAAAAAAAAATTATATAATTAAAAAAATTTCTTTTTTTGGAGATCTTGAATTCTTGCATTCATATCAAATTTCACAATAATATGCGCTAGTAGTGAAAACATAATTATATTTTTACCAAATAATTTTCTTACTTCACTTGCAACTGTATTTCTAGAAATTACAATAATAAAAGTTTATCCCATTACAAAAAAAGAAAAAAAAATTTAAGTTCACATTAATAAGCATGTAAATATGAAGAAAAAAATTTCAAGAGAGGGTGAGTTTCGAAATATGGAGATAGTGGAGTTTCTAAAATGTAAACAACCATGCTTTCAATCAACCCAGTTCATAATTTCCCCATACTCTATTTAAAAAAAAAATTTCACCGATATTTCAAATAAAATAAATAATCATTTCTTTAACTTAATATTTTAACTGTTCACAAATCTAAGTTTTCCTACAATTACTCTTTTAACAAGTAATTACTCTTATAGTACAAAATATATTTACATATTGAAAAAATAAGAGAATGTAAGAATTTATAATTTGAAAAATTCTTTGAAACTTAATAACTGAATAACCCTAGTCCTGTCAAGAAATACAGTAACAAGGATGACAGATTTTATAGAAAAACACTGTGACTAAATTACTGTTGACAACTATTATGTATAAAATTAGTAGAAAGGATTTAATACCTTGGAACATACTTCTGTGTAGCAAAAGTGATTCAAAATAAAGAATAACCTGCTATTGCATGAATTTATTGGAATTTGAATGATTCGGAGGCAATTTAAAATAGTTAGTTTTCAACCAGATCAGAATTAAAAACTGGTTATAATATAACATAGTCTCCTGTCTTAAAATTCCCAATGCATCCTCCAGAGTGATTGCATCTGAGCTTCACTTATGAATGATGAAATAAATAGATGAGACCACACTTCTGTAAGTAACGAATCTATTCTTTATTTTCATTTGATGGTTTATTTTCTGATGAAGCTTCACTAGGCTGTTCAACTTGTGGCTTTGGTTTGCTCAGGATAGGATATATTTCTTGCTTCAGTTGCTAAAAGAAGAAATTAATAATTTTTATATGATGAAATAATGTTGGGGGAAAAAAATCAAGCTGAAGAACACACACAAGTAAGAAATTTAAAATAATTTAAATAACAATTTTTTTTTCATTGGTAAGGAAAACATTACTTGTGCTTAGATTAGTATTGTTATTCTCTTTTTTTTCTACGTAGTCTTAAGTGCTCAACTTTTCAATTTTTGTTAGCAACATTTGGAATTAAAAATGACTAAAAGTCACTCACAAATTATGTTTAAATATACCTGCTGAAAATAAGGGATCTTTACTAAGGGATTCAATGAAGTAATGTATAAATATTATTTAAGTAAATTCATGTGAAGAATTTAAGTTATTCCAATCATCATTAAACATTTCGTTTTTTATTTTTTATTTTTTAATGAAACTATTCCAGTAAAATGTTAGTAAAAACGATAGTATAAATTTAAAAAAAATGTTATTACACTAATATCTTCCATCAAACTTTCCAATTCAAATATAATTACAAACCTCACAATAAAATGTATTTATCATTCTTTTTCATCTTTACTTAAGCAAAAACTATAATTCAGCTTGATCATTTTCCACTCAAAACTAGACTAGAAGCCGCACCAGAACTGTGAATTTAACTATATGATTGATATAACACCTATTTTTAAAACTTCAATAAAAAAATATAAATTTAAATTTTCACAATAAATATTTTAAAATGATTCGCTGTGTTTTTTTTCCTTTTTTTTTTGGTTAATATATGTACAACTGTTGATGAATTTTATTAAATTCAAAAAGGTTAATGATATAGGGTTCCGTAGCAGAAAAAATTGGGAACTGGTGCACAAGGCTTTTCTTTAGTTTATAAATCTACAGATTGGAAAAAAAATTTTGTTAAGAAACCAAAACAAATAGCAATTGAGTAATTTTGGGAATTAAAAATGATTTTCTGTTTCTCTTATCAGTAATTTTGTCATCTTATTTTTCTTAATCTGAGACGGTGAGATAATTTTTAAAAAAATAATCGAATTTGAAAAATATTTGCAGGTGCTGTGATAATCTGATGTGCGTGCAACTGTGCTGGGGTTTTCTGCTACTGGGGCTCTAAGTAATGCTTAAGTAAGATAATAAATTCTGTTGATCTTCTACAATGCATAGTAAATTACAAAAATAATAAAATGAAAAGAAAAAAAATAAAATAAGTAGATATGGGGAAATTTTTAATTTGCTTATTTTATTAACAAAGTGGATGGGATTCGAAATGATGAATAATACGTTTACTTTAAATATTATATAACCACTCTCAAAATAATCAAATACTATGTTCAAAAATTAAACTTACCTCTTTCTTGTTAAATAGTTCTTCCGCAGAAATAGGCGGATCTTCATACGATTTAAGCCCCNGAATGTCAATTTATCCGAGGGTACTGCGTTTTTTAAATGAATCAAATATGATGTTTGTCAGTTCCACAATCAAGCCTATGATTTACAGAGGTTTCTGCACAGAAATCTGAAAGGGGTTTTAAATTTAGGTGGATGTTCATAATTGCGTTTAACGCTTGCGTAATGTGTTTTTTTGTAAGTTCATTGCTGAAAAGTCCCTTTCAACTGCTGCAGTACTCTCAGACGGAAAAAACATCAATCCATCATGCGCAGTATGTTGCTGTACGGGATTTCTAGATTAGAGGGTCATTTTAGAAGTGATGAGGCTCTAGACTCTTGTAAGATAACAAAAATTTAAAGTGTATCACGAACATTAACGGGAAAGTCTGATTCGAGAAATTCGTTGTCCGCGGGAAATTTTTGACCGCCGAGGACGGGCGTTTTTTCGAGCCCTGCTTCAGACATCACCTTAAAAGAAAAAATTTATGACTTTGTTTTAAAAAATCGGGACTATTAGGACTTGCACGACCGAATTCATGGTTTTCGTTACAGGTAGACAACCTTGATAAGCTAATGGGTAATCGGTGATGGTAGAAATAGACAAGAAACAAGTTTTGAAAAACATGCTCTTTCTCATTAGTTACAATTTAAATTTTGATTACAAATAAGGAAAGAATTTAGTTCTGACAGGTTTCATAGTTTATCGTTAGTTAAAGGAAAGGGAGTGCCATAATACTAAGAATCATAAAATAGTTCAGCAAGGTAAAAATTCTTTATATTTTTTCCAATACCAAGAGGAGAAAACTAAATGTCCTTCAATCCTTCTTTGCAAAGACGTACTGAGTCTTGAAATTTTGCAGAATACAGGTATCCAGTGAAAATTTTATTTGTTACTTGGTCCAATAAAATTTTGGTTTAAATCTTCTGATGAGGTATTAGAACATTTATACAAAAATCATATAATTTTTTATCGAACAAACATTTTACAAGATATGGAAATTCATTGCATGCCTATGGAAATTTTTTGCATGCCAATATTTTAAACTAAAAACACAAAATTTTCCTTTTAAATTTTTTAAACTCAATTAAAAAAAAAAAAAAAATTTATTGAAGGAAACGTTGCTCTGAACAATTAAGTGAAGACATCTGCTGTTATTGAACCTTATACTCAATCAATATCTCATTTGATTAACTTACATTTTCAATAAAATTTAATGTAGCTTTCATTAAGCATAGGATATTTAAAATACTTTAACAAAATGACAATAAATCAAATGAAAAATCTTTTAACTATCAGAATTTAACTTTTTATCATCTAACAAATTTAATTTTTAATCAGCTGATAACATAGCTATAAACAAAATTTACAAGCAATGAGATCTACTTAAGTACAATCTCAAATTTTTCGATACTCAGTGAGAATTTAACTTATAACTAAGGTAAAACAGAAGATTCATTAATCAGTTTTGCTGTCATTAAAGTTCTGATTCTTTCTTTGTATTCTAGAAATTTTGAATCCTCAAAAGATAAAGTTATTCCTAAATGAAGCAGCAAACAAGAGACAGATTTGTGTTAATAAAAAACTTTCTGTGAAACTAAGGAGTACCTGCGTAACACAGAGAAAAAAACAATAAAAAAACATGGACGGAGAGGGAACTTTAACCAGACTGATTGGAAATTCAATCAATTGAACTAATGAGCAAAAAATTTAGTTTAAAGTTTTCTATGGCAAATTTTATTCATAAATGCTCCATTCCAATAAAAGGGTAAATCGACTTAAATATATACTGTAATGACCATTATATTGTAGATGGAAAGGATTAAGCAGGGCCACCTGCGCCAAGCATTTGCAACTTCGATAAAATCAATAATTCGGCGAAATAAATTCTCTACGGTAAAAGTATTAGTAAACAATTTTTACCCTAAACAATAAATACAGATTTCCATTGATCCTGAAAAATTGCGTCAATATGAATTTTTCTAAACAAATCTGGTATTTTTTATTCGATTACAGATATTTCCTTTAGATACCTCACATAATTAATTAGAATTATGAAGTCGAATTAATATAAGCAACAAAAGAGATTATGCAAGTCTAAAAAAACAAAACATAAAATCCCAATAAAATACAGATAATCACGTTTGCTGTCGGATCTTGCGATTTAATGGGACAAAACTCTTTCCAACAGTTCATGTCAATATAGCTCATTAAGTGATAGGTAGATGCATAATATCATCCAATTATTTCAGAAAAAAATATTTTTTTTGTGACAATAAGATATTGCATGACAATTACAATTGAGGCAGTAAAAAATAAGCAAGACTATTTTCAGTACATTTGATATTTTTTAAAATTTTATTTTTAATCAATAATGTATTCACCCTCTTTAGCAACAACCTTCGAATGTCAGATCGAAATGTATTGAAAAAAATTAAACAAACTAATTTTTTTTTTTAAATTTCGCATTTGGCTAATACTTTTGAAATTTGGCTAATACTTTTGATATTTGGCTAATTTACTGGCTAATGATTTGAAGTTCTTATCAAGGACCCTTATTAAGTAATAATGCAATTGAGGTTCGTTAGTAAGAAGGAGGGCAATTCAGTGGAAATCTTAAGAGTAGTATAAAAAATGAATAAATCTGTAATTAAGGAATCAACAGAAAAATGCCAATTCAGCAGTGTAATTCATTTTTATAAAGTTATGTATGATAAGGCAGATGGAGGTAAAAAGATAATACAGTGGGTGATCGGTTAACGAACTGATCGGTTAACGAACAAATCGGTTAACGAACACTTTCACGAAAGATTTTTGTGTTCGGATAACGAACACATATTCGGATAACGAACAATTTCAAGAAAGATTTTTTGTGTTCGGACAACGAAAACATATTCGGTTAATGAACAAAACGAATTCTAACGAACACTTCTCGGCCTGAAAAAAATTTATATTAAACATTTGTGATCATTTTGCATACGAAATAAGATCACTGAAAGGAGAAATGTTTAAAGAAGATGAACTAACGACAGAAGAACTCCAAGAAATTTTGAATGAAGAACACCAAGAAACACAGCGAAATGTGTCTCCTACTCTTGATGTACTAATGATGAAAGAGGACCAATGCCGACATCTGCCATTAAAGATATTTTGANAATTAGAATACTACAAAAACAGATTCCGATATTGAACATGAAAAATTTTATATATTTTACAGGAAAATTTAGATAAATAAAACAAAATGTGACTCACTTTTAATGCAGTTAGGGTATCACTATATACTTGTTCTTTCTCATCTTGACCCTCTTCATAAATCCAATTTTCGACTTCAGTCAACTTTTTTTGAAAGTTATCAAGCTCCTGAAAATCCATCAAAAATTACAATTTGTTCCTTTTCAATGATCGTTTTATCAATCATATATAGTGCATAACAAAAAACAAAAAAAACTGTAACACCTTAATTACTTTCCATCTAATTATATTTTTACATGTTAAGAGGCAATCTTAATGTTCAAGAAGCTAACCTGAAATATTATAATTAATTTGAACAAATTATATTATTTTAATAGAATTTTTAAGTCTTCTTGTACACAATTGTAAAGCTTATTTCAAACTAGCTTCAAATAAAATGCAATTATAAATGTTACACAAGTTACATTTTTTGAATTGTAAGGTAAACAAGATTTTATATTCAAAGTATATATTTTTAAATAATAAAATGCAAAGCAATAATAATCATTGCAAAATAATTTTCACCTAAATAGTTTTTGAGTAAAGAAATTTTAAAAACCTTTGTTTTCAATTTTTTACTTCTGAAGATTAATTTTAAATTTAGGATTTTGTCATTAAAATTTTAAGTTTAATATTATGTAAAAATATACCTTTCAATAAAAATTTTTTTTAGCAATTATTAAAGAAGTATAAGAAATGATAAATAAGTTTAGTACATTATTCTTAATACAGAATTTTCTATTTAGATAAACTAGTTTTACAATCATGCGAAAAAATTGTTTATTCACTAAAACAATTCCTGATGGGCACTTTTATCTAGATTTTGACAATTTCCTACATTTTAAGCGACTAGTTAGTTTATTCAGACGGTCTAATTTTGCAAAATAAAATATCATTAGCACAAATTAATTAGCATTTTTAAGGAAAGCTTTCTTAAATAATTAAGATTGCATCTAAATATGAAAAAGTCAAATAAGTTATTAACCATCAATGGTCTAGAAGTATTTCAAGTTTACATTCTGTCTGGTTTCACTATGATAATCAATTACTTTATTATTGTATCAATTAATGAATTATTTTTATAATACATAATTATTTTTAATAAAACAAGTTATAATTAAACTAAATAGAAACATCACAACTATAGAAGCAATAAAAATGTCACCATATACCAGACAATTGGAGACAGCAACTAAAATTCCATTTAGCATTATCTGAACTGTTCTATTTCTCATTCAGCGCACTGAACATTATATTTCAAAATTTACTCATTAAAATGGATTCTATTTGTAAACGGAGGCAATTTAATTAACTCATTAGATGCCAATGTTCCCATTTTGGGAAAACAATCAGTTTAATTATTTTATCTCCTATTAAAATTATTAATTTTATAAATTACTATTAAGTGAAAAGTTTATTAAAGATTGTGTTTTAATTTCCACTTTATATAATATGATAAAAAAAAACCTTAAGTTTGCATTTTCTACCAAATAAAATACAAGTAACATTTTTAAATACAAAATATTACATGTTTAGATAAATTTTAAAACAGAAAATTTCATTTGGAAAATATTTTCGCAAAACACTAAAATCCAATTATTTTAAAAAGAGTTTGTAACTTCAATTCTAAAATGAAACCTTATTCAGTATTCTGAGATTAAAAATAAAGCCTTCCAATATCTATAAAAAAATTTTTTAATTAAATTAATATTTACTCTATACTTTTATAACATAAATTAATTTAAGATATAGAGTTCAAGAAAACTTCGCATTTTATTTCCTTTACAATTATCCTAAAATTCATAGCTTTTAATTAGAAAAAAATAAAAATAAAAAATTTCAATTTTAACTACAACATCATGTAACAATCAATTCTTTTAAAGTTGATAATTGAAAGACAGCCAATTCAAAAGTATTAGAAAGCACATAAAATTAAAATGGAATTGAAAAAAGAAAAATAATCAAATATAAAATTGGCACGTATATGAATAAAATAATAAGCATTAATTAATCGGATTAAAATGCATTGATAAATAATGTTGAGCAACAGTTTTAAATTTATAGGATCTTTAGCAAATGGATAAAAACTGTAATAATAAATAATTTAGAAATAGTTCACAACAATTTTAATTTAGCAATTAAAATGGGCTAAATAAAACTGTCCATCCAATGATGTTTAATAAATATGTTAGTAACTAATTTCTTTCCATAAAAAAAGTGAATTACTGTGTTATAAGTCATTTCTTTTTAATAATTTTATTTAAATTGTTATCAAAAACCTCCATGAATCATCCAAAAGTAATTTAGTAATTTGGAAGGCTATCTCATCCTTGCTTTGAATTAGTTAAATGAATGAATTATTTTTTTTAAAATGGAAAAGTGGTAACTGTTAATTACATACCATATAAAGTAAAAGAAATTAGTAGGTGTATGCAAAATTATGAAGCTAATGTTTGAATTATAAAATTGTCCTAACCAAGTGAGAACAAAATAATTTATCAGACAACTGTGAACTCAATCCTATAACAGGAGGTAAGATTAGATCATTTTCTTGATTTTACATTTAAAAAAATCTGCAGTCATAACTAAAATTTATAAATAATAAAAAGATAAGCAATTAAAATAAAAACTTTCGTAAAAAACTTTGCATTTTGAATTTTTTGATAACATAAATTTTTGAATCAAGTATTACATCTTGTTAATTAGCATACAAAGGCTAATATATGATATAAATTTAGTAGATAAGATGTAAAGAAAAAAAATTTTGATATCATAGCAGTCAAATTTTTCAAAATATTTAAAAGTTAAAAACGGTAGTAAAACTTATGCTTTTCTAATTTATTTTTCAATTTATAAATATAATTAAGAATGAATTTAACTACCACTATAAATGAATAAATAAAACATATATATAAATTTGTTGCTGTGATTAAGCTCTGGCAAAAAAGTTACTCTATGCATATAATTTATCATGCTTACTTTTCCTCTACCCTCATCATAAGTGTTTGTTGCTTCACATGTAAAACTATATAACACATTTTTAAACTTAATTTGTAATTTTAATTATACACAATATAATTTGCATGATCAATTGGGAATTTTTACCAAGCATACTTTAAAAAATATGAACTGATATTAATTCATTTATACTTTAAAGATAGGGACACACCGATATCAGATTACTACAAAAATCAATTCACTGATAAAAGAAAAAAAATATCAATGCAAAATATTTTAACAATAATTTTTGATTTTTTTAAGCATAAAATGAATGAATTAAGTAAGAAAAAAATAATAATTGCTACATTTTTTATAAGGCATTGTAAAAATAGATAAATAGTCTATCTTTGTATTGATAATTGAAAATATATAAACACAATTGCAAAATATGTCCAATCAATTATAAATGGAATTGGAAGTTTGCAGCGGGGAAAAAAGAGAACAAAATCTGCAGAAATTTTAAAATTATTAATTAAATTAATACACAATATATAGGCATTGAAAGTCATGGGCATGATAAAAATAAATAAGGCTGAAAAAATATTTCTTTTGTTTTTATGCAATATTATTTATATTGAAAGAAACAGAGTTTTAAAACAAAATATTGTATAGCCATCCATCAGATGCATTAGTTTGGCAGCATTTTATAGTGTTTGTCAACACCAAAGATTAAGAAATTTCTTGCCCAGTGCAATGTTCTGTGTTACCCCCTTATTGCGGTAAATTTTTCTGGTTAGGCAGGAATCCAACTTAATGTCTTTTTCCTATTGCAGTTCAAGAGGCATTGTATCCTCACTAATTTATCATTCAGCTTGTTTCTTCCCATCAAATGGTTCTTTCTGATGAATTTAGTGAAATTATGGTTTTTCTGATGAAAAGTTTATAACTTAAAAATGAAATCCTCAGTTCTATTAGTAATACATTATCAATTTCAAAAGTTTATAAAAAGTACCAATTACTGCAAAAATTGAAAAAAAAAACTGATATTTTTTAAAATATTTCTACAAATAGAATTTTGTAAAATTAGTGGATTTTAAAAAAATATATAAATAATTTGTGGGAATCATCACTGGAATTTGCACAACATGCAGCCCTAATTTTAACAGAATACAGAGTTTCAATACGTCAAGGAGTGAACATAAAGAAATTATAACAATAGTAACCTGAATAGAAATATATTCTTGAAGTTCATCAGAAAGACGATTTCTCATGTCATAAACAAATTCTTCCACTGAGTTTTTAGCATTTATTCTTTTTTCTTCATAAATGTCTTGATGAATCATTTGTTGCTGCAAAATAATAATAAAAATTAAAAAGAATTATCCAATAACAGAAATAAGATTGATTGATATATTGATTTTGAAAAATATTAATATTGATTCAGAATAATATTACAAAATACTGAACGTTACTTCATTTTCAAGGCAATTTTTTATCTCATCTTCTTTCAACTGAGGCACTTTGGATTCAATTTGAAGTTCAATATCCTGAGGAGTTTTCTTATGTTTCTTCAAAGAGAAAAAGTCTCTCTTCTTTTCCTAAAAATGATCAACAGTGTTAACGTTTTCTAGTTAAAATAATATTCTTAAAAGAATATTACTTAAAGAACAATATATTTTAACATAGCTCACTAGAAAAAATGTTTTTAAATAGATGTGACAGCAATCACATAAACGAAATCTGATTTCAATGAAAAGCAGACAGACATCATGTCTGTTACCATTTTTGAATTTTGGCAAAATAAAAAGATAGAGAAGTTTTAATTTTATGAAGAAAAAAAAACAATAGAAGAGTAAAAATAACATAACACAATAAAACAATATTTTAAGATAGTAACATTATATCAAAGTTATATTTTTTATGAATAGATGTGTCAAGCTAACTTTCTTAAGCTGTCATTTCTGCCTCAATTTCTTGTCTGTCAGACTAGTAAATATTTTTTTTTTACAAAAGGTACTTTCTTTAAACTTTATTATTTCATGTCTTTGAATTAAGTTTTGTTTAGGAAAGCTGAAATTACTAAACCTATGTTATTTACCATTTCAGAGCAATTGTTCATAATGTTAAGACAAAAAAAGTGATCTATTAAAGTGATCTGAGACAAAAAATGGGAGATGTATGTGGAGTGCCACATACATCTCCCTTTTTATGTCACAGTCATAGCAAGTTTCTATTAATTAAAATGTTTTTCACCCAAAGCAAATGTTTTGCATTATTATTATTGAGAGATTTCAAGTTACTATACAGCAAAATTTGAAAAGATATCTTAATATTTAGTAGCTAAATTTGGACAAAAAATATTGTTGCACAAGTATCTGTTACCATGGAACTGACCTTAAATGTACAAATGTTTAAAATAAGAGATCTAAAATATAAATGTAACGCTTATTTTAATGCTTTAATTTAATATATGAAAATTAAAAGGGGGAATACAACAGAGTAAAATTTATACATTCTTTTCACATGTACAAACTGTTAAAAAAAATCTTCATTACTATCACGTTTGCTTGCTCAATGGGCAAGACAAAGTTAGATTTTGATCATGTTAGCACTCAAGAGAAAAAATTATAATGTTTCAATACATAATACTAACTTCATTTGGGGCAGTGTCATTTTGCACACTAGTGTCAAGCAGCTTTAGATCCATAGCGTCTTCAGCTTTTTGATCTACTTGCAGGTTCTCTTTTGAATCTTTGTCAACAATTACAGCAGAACAAACACTGAAAATTCCATTTATATTGATACGAAGCTTTACTATTATTTTGGCACTTTCGCCAGAAGTCAACTGATTGAGTCTAACAGTAAAGGAACCTATAAAAAGAAAAAATTAACTAAAAATAAAAGAAATAACTTTTCAAAAACTATGTACAATCTTCAATAACTAAGTTCAATCTAATTAATTGAAATAGTTAAAGAAATAAATTTTTCATAAAAACTTTAATAGATCACTTCTAAATAATTCAAAGTTACTCATCAGTGACCCTATATAATTTTTCAATGAGCTATGTACTCTTTAAACACATAGAAAAATAAATCTAGTTTTATTTAAAAACAATGTTTTAGACTAAACTTTTTGTTAAAACACAGATAAAAAATATTTTATAACCTCAAATACATAAAAACTTTTAACTATACTGATTTAACAAATAACATGAAAGCAAAGCTGAGATAAATTAACTTTACAAAATCTTTGACATTTTAGTACAGTTCTTAAAAATATACCTGAAATGACAGAAACCCAATTTTGCTATGTTAAACAAAAAAGTTGCTGTAATTGTCAGTTTCATGAAACCCATTTCAGAAAATTTTTAAAGAAACTTTTAAGGAACATTCTGATATGAAAATATTACTTATGTGAACAACAGTTTGAGTAATTTTATCTGAAGATGAAATTTTTTTTCTGCTTTATGCAATTTGGAATATAAAAAACTTATTAGAGGAGAATTAAGAATTTTTGTAGTTAATTTCTCTTATGTCTAAAAAAAGCAACATATATCACTTTTAGAATTCATTTGTAGTTTATAAAAAGTTTACTTTCTTATTCTTACTCTAATTCCATAATATTCTTTACGTAAAACTAATTGCAGTAAATTTATAATTTCCGGCAACTGCTTACTTTATGTCTAGAGAACAAAACTACTTAGGCTAATTTTTAAAATATATTTGGAGTGATTAAATTTTAAATATTCGTTTTCAGAATTTTTGGGTGAATTTATTATCATAATTTAAAAACCCTAACAAAATTTTTTTTTTTTATTTTTATTTTCGCAATCCATATTTTGATACATTTTTTGACGAAGTCTAAAGAAAAGTATAGTATAAAAACAAGGTTACTAAACATGCAACATGAGCTCATGAAAAGATTTGGAAAAAAAAAATGGGAGATAAGTGAGTGATAGCAAGCAGAAAATAAGTCCTTAATAAATTAAAAATAAAATAACTAAATAAAAAAATAAATTTAGGTACAAAAGCTGGGATATTCTATAAGACTAAAAAAAAACTAACACAAGAAATCATTTTAATGAAAAAAATTTTTTTTAAACATTTTAAGATTTTTATCAATTTTGTCAAACATTGGTGCTGTTATATATATGAATTATAATTAACATTTTGTTGGCATAGATTTAAAATTAAGATACAACATAAGGAAAAGAAAAGGTTTGATTTAAGTTGCCAAGGAAAAACTAGGATGTTTAACCCAAAAAAAAAGGAAAGCTAAAACGTTCCAAAGATCTGATTAGTAAAAATTAATTCAGGCTAAAATAATGGTTGACATTATTAGAGTTATGAAATATATTAACTATTAATCTAGACTACATAATTTTGATATTTTAGTGAAAAGGTTTGCACATATGGCAAGTACAGAATAATCGGAACACATATAATTTAAACACAATATAATTCCTAAGGTATTTTCCTGGGAGAAATAAAGATGCCACTTAGTGGTAAGAGCTCGCTCTTTATCTAATACATTCAGGTAGCCAAAACAGTATATGAATGAACAGGAGAAAACTTCTGACGCTCCAACGTTTGCGACTGGACAGTTAATGGTCTAAGCTTACTGACATCGGACAACTGGGGGAATTCATCCCCGATTGAGGGTAGCAGCTACCCATGCAGAGGTAGCAACTGCTTACCAGTCTTTAAAACAACACCTTTCTTCTAACAGATTTCAGCTTGAAGGGGGGGGGATGTTAAAAATGAAAGTGCCAGAAAATTGGCATTTCATGAACGTGTCTAACAATGAAAATGAATAAAATACACTCGTGGATACAGCAATTATTAAATTACTGGCTATATTATAACATAATTATTAACAACAACTGAGAGTATATTTTAATACATAACATTTCATGGAGGTTAAGGGGAATTTTTTTATTTTATTTACTAATCATTAAATTTCTAAATTGGGGAATCTGAGTTCAGTTTTGGAGAGGGAGCCTGAAAAACAGCTACCACATCCAAAGGAGGCAGCAGGCAGACAAATTACCCGCTTCTTTCTCGATGAGGTATTGACGAAAAATAGCAATACAGGACTCGTGACCCCGTAATTAAAATTAAATACACTCATGAATATGACAATTATTAAATCACTGGCTAAATTACAACTTAATTATTATCAATAATTGACTGCAATACTTAATACATAAGTGCTTATTTATTATTATCATTCATAATTCATTTAACATAATTAAAATTTTAAGATTTTCCTTTAACATAATACAATTTTAGGCAAGTATCATACCTATTGAAGATCCATCCTCTTGCCCATAAGAATAAAAAGCATTTAATGTAAAATCCTCTTTTCTGAAAAATGTTAGAAGCTTTGAAAATGGTATGGGATGATTCCGGGAAAACGCTTCAACATCTCTGAAGTGATAAAACATTAACAGGTTATTTTTGAAATGGCCCTTTTTAGTAACATAATTTTAAAAAATAAATTAACAAGGACAATAAACTTTCAAGGAGGTAAAATTATTAAATCAGGGACAAGATAATACATTTGAAAATTTTCACAAGCAACATTTTGGAATTTATTTTTTAACTAGTTCAGGCTCTATTATTTAATTCAATTATTAAAAAAGCCTTAGTAAAATACATCTTACTCATTAAAGAATTTAATTGAATAATTAGAACACTTAATAAAACTGGAAATTTAACAAAAAATGCAATAAATTAAAAAAATGAATTTAAAAACTTAGAATCAAAATTCATTTTACTGATAGATACAACGAAAGAGCATAACTCAAGCGTGATTCAGGTTTATCACCAAGATTATTCTTATTAGCTTTTTAATAAGTCTAAAAGTTTTATTTTCAAATATTGAAAATTTTACTTAGTATACATGACTCTCATAACAATTATAAAAAAATGTATACTGAATAATCTATTCATCATCATTGCACTATATATCATTTTCCAAGTATCCTTTCCTAAATTTTGTTTAATGAAAACTGCAAAAAAATCATAATGAAAAGATGATTAGAAACAAATAAATCTGAAACTTCATATATAAAAAAATACAAAGACATGTAATTAACTTACCCCTTTTCAGTCTTTGTAATATCCCAATTCAATTTTATTGCAACTGGTTGGGCATCTAATATTTGCATTTCTTTAACTTTAACTGTTGGTGTCAACATAGCAGCCTGAAATTAAGCTTATAGTTTTATGATTGATTATTGGTAATAAAGAATACACACAAAAAAGATAAATTTATATTTATAACATATATAACTATTTATTTTCAACAGTATTATCCTAAACTTGTCTAGCATTTCAAGATTTATAAAATCTATGAGCATGTCACTTTGTGTGCACCATTGAATTTAAGACTGTATGCAGTGTTCAATTATATATTATTAAGTATGTTTATATTATAATAAAATTCAGAATCGTAGTTCTTAAACAAAGACAAGACTTTCTATTCGGTGAAATAAAAAAAATAGTTCTAAAAAAGGAAAAATAGTTTTAATTTTTGAAGAAATCATATCTTTTTATTATCACAATTTTTTTCACAATTCATTTTTGAAAAAGTAAAATTGTGCTAATTTACTAAATAGTATTCTAATGTTATATATGAGTAAATATTATTTTGTTTGTCTACGATGTTTAAAATAAGACTGTGTTGTAGAAATTGTTTAGTTAGACATCAGTGTGGGCAGAAAGCTTTCGGCCTTACACAACATTGCGTATAAAGCGCAACGTAAAATCATCCAGCTGAGAAGAATTTATGACTTGATTAATTTTAACCATTCATAAAAATTATTACTTAATTTAAAGGTTTCATAAAGAAAAACTCTCATTTTATCGAACAAAAGCTGATGTTTATTCACTTAAAGCTTAGGCTGTAATTGTACTCAGGCAATCTTGAGATTTATTCTAATTGTTAAATCAGAAAATTAAACATAAAATATAATGAAACAAGACTAGAATTAATGTATATTTAAATGATTATTGTAAGAATAATAAGTTAATTTAAAAAATGCACTAAAAAATAGTCAGACTAGCGTTTAAAAATGTGCAAATTGGGAAAATACAAATATATATATATATAAGCATATTTTTCAAAGATTTAGTCTTACTAAATGAAATATTGGAAAAAATGTGTAACCTTTCCATATTTTTTTGCTTTTAGACATAATTCCAAATATTTATTCTCAATATTTACAATTGTATACAAATACGCTTTTTGGTTTACATTCGCCAATAAATAATGTTTCAGAGTTTAAACGCTTTGAAACTCTTGAACAGTTACAGGTACACACTCCAATATTTTTTACTTTTCTTCATCATTTTCATTACTATCATTGGCAGTAGACAAATTCAGATAACGAAGTAATTGAAAAATAATGGGATGTGTGTTGTAGTCGATATACACATTATCAACTTTGGAAGTCTACAGCCATATAATTTCATTCAGGAGGTTCAATGTTCCCATTTGATTCCGAAAAGTCTACTTTATTAAACCCATTTGTAATGCATCTCAGATGACACTGTGCAACCATGTAAAAATCAAATTCAGAGCTCCCAAATCATTTATTTTTGGATTAGAAATCCCTAGTGGGTTCCCAGAATCAGAGGGGAAAAAAAGATTACTTAACCAATTTTTACAATTGTACAAAGAACAGCAAAATTGTAACAGCTTTCACAAGTGTTTTATTCCATAATCTTCAATTTTGAAATTAATCAGTTCTCAGCAGGGTTCTCCCTACTTGCTAGTTGATGTTTTTCAAATAATTAAAAAAAAAATAGTTTAAAAAATTATTAAATAAAGCTTAAGTACCTTGATTTTAGGTCTGCAACCTTGAATTTTTTATTCATGAAAATGTAGACAAACTAAACCTGTTACCTGAAGGGCACAGCCTCTTGCAACAGCTTCATCAAGATTTAGGGTAGTGCTAGCCTCCATGCCAAACACTTTACGAATTATGTTTTTGATAGCAGGAATTCTTGTAGATCCACCAACTAATTCAACGGCAGTAATATCTCGAGCATACATATCTGAAATTATTACATTTTAAATATTAGCAAATACTGCTAAAATGATTTTTTATAGCAAGGCAAACTACAGTGGATGGATTAATTTATGAGGAAATTATTATGTTAATTCTATGGGAATTTCTTCACTTCCAGGATAATTGTATGTGTTATGAAACTGCCTTGTTTAGACAGTTTTTAAGAATGCTGTTATTTTTATTATATTAAAATTGTTATAACTAAAGTTAGCAGGAAAATTTTGAAATTTGGTTTGTATTAGAATGAAAATCACTTTAAAAGCAAAAAATTTTCTCAATAGGTAATCATTTAATTTGGGGAAACTGGAAACCAACGAATAAAATACCGCTAAGTATGTGAGGAGTGATCGCTTTAAAGTTGGCTACATAAGATAAAATAGAAATTTTAAAAATTTAATAGAATTTAGGAGAAATATCTGTTGTGTATAATTAACTAATTATGAAATATTGGTTGCTTTGCTTTTATAAAAGATTATAGTCATGTGACAATTACTTTGCATTTGTTTTGGAAAAATAGAAAAAAAACAGAAGTTGTATTGAAATTAATCGTGACAGTGGATGTAGAAAATTAAAACTTGTCTAAGACTACATTTAAAGCACAAATAGAAAATAACTTTTAAAAAATTCTAAAGTATCTGGGTTAAACACATTGACTAATGTGTATATTTGCTATGAGATCTCCGTCAGGTCATGCTGTACAAAGTGCAATGCGCTAGTTTATATGTGTTGATTTTCAAATGTACACTCTATAACAAAAAAAATCGACACACCAAGAAGGAGTTGTCCGATTGAAAAGAAAATTGGTGGATAGGAAGACAATGTACAGAATAGTAAATGATTAAAATTTCAGAAAAATTGAATAATTTATTGCAGAGTTACAGTAACAAGTTCAATCAGGTGTTGACCCACCTCTAGCCTGGATACAAGCTGCCACACGGCGTGGCATAGACCGATAAAGCTCCCAGATGGTCTCTTGCAGTATTTCCTGCCAAATTCGATGCAATTGTCGAACGAGGTCATCAACATTCCATGGGAGATGCAATCGCCTTCCCATCATATACCAGACATGCTCGATGGGAGAGAGATCTGGTGATCTGGCAGGTCAAGGAAGAGTTTGACAAACTTGCACCCAGTTCATAGCAACACGTGCTGTATGTGGTTTGGCATTGTCCTGCTGAAAAACCAGCCCAGGGCGCTGCAAAAGGAACAGTAGCAAAACAGGTCTTAGGATGTCCTCGACGTACTGCTGTGCAGTAAGTGTACCTCTAATGACCACCAAAGGGGTACGGCTGTCAAAGGAAGTGGCACCCCAGACCATAATGCCTTGTTGAGGGTCGGTGTGGCGTGCAATAGTTAAGGCAGTATCCCCCCTCTGCCCTGTGCGTCTCCAAACACGTCTTCGATGATCGTCAGGACACAGTTAGAAGCGGGATTCGTCTCTTAAGACTATACATCACCGGTCAGCATCATTCCAGCCTGATCTGTTCAAAACATTCATGCATACGAAATTTCAAAGCAATTGGATGATTGCTTCTTGGTGCGTCGATTTTTTTATTATAGAGTGTATATGGTAAAGCGTGGAATAGATTATTCAGATCAAATGGTTTCTTATGCAACGACAATTAAAGAATTAAATAGCACCAAAAACTTTGGTGCTTTACAAAATTGTGATAAAAAAAAATGTAAGTATTAGAAGATTTAGAGATTTGATATCATCAAAATTATTAGGTGTGTCTAAAAATTCAACAAAACTTTCTGTTTGACAAAGACAGTATTTGGCATGTACGCAAACAAAGTTCTTGAACTAAAAGATGAAAAATGGACCAACTAAAGGTAATATGAAGTAAAGAACAACTTTTTGTTCTTTACTTCATACTACCTTTGAAGTCTTCCAAGTTCCCATAACAAATCAATACCTCTAGGGGGTACTGAATTAGAGATTGACTGTTCTCTGATTCAGGTCAAAATTATGATATGTGGATGAATGAATGGGTGTACCCTATAAACAGGCATGACGTATGGGTGTGGCAGAAGTAGAATTTGTGGCCATAGATCGCACCCTTCTGCCTAATGACTTTTTGTTCAAAATATCTAGACCAAGTCACAGCTTTGCATAGAATTTTTTAATGTTCTACACTCCAAACTGTTCATATAATAGTTCAATAATTCCTTCCTGTGGAACAGGGGTGTCAAACTCGCGGCCCATGGGCCGCATGCGGCCCGAGGTGAATATTTTTGCGGCCCAGTCAATATATCCAACGCAAAGTAAAAATAAAATAGAAATGTGAATTAGAAAGAAAACTAGCATATCAAATTATAATATACTTTACTTATAAACTATAACGATAATTTTAAATTGTATGAGCGAAAATGTAAAATTATAATTGACTTGCGGCACCTGCCATTCCAGGGATACTGCATCGTATCAAAAATACGCAGAAAAAATTTCAAATCTTTGAACAGAATTTGAAACAAGGTTTAAAGATTTTAATTCCTTGGAAGACAAATTTTGTTTGTTTTCGTCGATTTTCTCTATAAATATAGACTCAGTACCCAGTAATATGCAAATGGAAGTAATTGAGATTCAGTGTGACTCAAATTTGAAGACAAAATTCATTGAAGTGGGTGTGCCTGAATTTTACAAATATTTACCGGCAAGGTTTGAAAATACTCGAAAATTCGCATATGAAATTATTTCCATGTTTGGAAGTACTTATCAGTGCGAGAAATTTTTTTTCTGTTATGAATGAAAATAAATCTCCCTTCCGAAACCATATTAATAGCTCTCGTTGGGTCAATTTTGAAAGTAGTCTCGGCCAATAAAATTTCTCCCGAGACAGGAAAGATAGTAGCAGAGAAGAGATGTCAAACAATAGTTTTACTTTAGATATGCTTATTACAATGTACTATTCAAAATTAAAATATTTGTTTCTGTAAACACTGATTTTTTTCTTAACTGTTTTTTTTTTTAGGCCCACCTAAAGTTAAGCATTGTTTATTTAGCCCAAGTGTGCTTTTGAGTTTGACACCCCTGCTGTTGAATATCTGTTCTAATAGTTTTTGAAGTCTTTAGTGAGTAGTCAAATAAACATTACCTGAATATGAGTCATCAATAATAGTATAAATAGAAATGGTTTATGAAAGATTTTAAAATTTAAATCTATGTTTAACAACAATTTTTTTTAAATCCAAAAGATTTATTTTAACAGTCATTTAATCCATAAATATACAATAAACTTATAAAATGCCTTTAAACTTAAAAAAAAATATTTATTTTCATAGAAAAATGTAGCAAACACTAATTAATATAAATCAAAAGAATGAGATTTTAGAAACAGCTTCAACAACCAGTATGAATGCTGAACTGAAGTAAAGACTTTCCTCAAATTATACGAGAACAATAATTACTCTCACAAAATATATTAAAGAACATTACAAATTCTATTTTTTAATTAAATTAAAAATATTATACACACAGTTAAAAACTTAAATTTCTAACTAATTAAGGAAATTAAATGTTCTCAAAAGTTAAGTTGTATAAATTTTAACTGAATGTGTAAAAATATACTTATTTCCAAAAACTTCAAATAAACATTTAATTTTATATGCAAAGTTATAAAGCATAATTAATTTAACAAATGCATTAATAAGAGTATNACAGAATAGTAAATGATTAAAATTTCAGAACAATTGAATAATTTATTGCAGAGTTACAGTAACAAGTTCAATAAGGTGTTGACCAGCCTCTAGCCTGGATACAAGCTGACACATGGCGTGGCATAGACCAATAAAGCTCCCGGATGGTCTCTTGCGGTATTTCCTGCCAAATTCGATCCAATTGTCGAACGAGGTCATCAACATTGCGTGGGAGATGCAATCGCCTTTCCATCATATCCCAGACATGCTTGATGGGAGAGAAATCTGGTGATCTGGCAGGTCAAGGAAGAGTTTGACAAACTTGCAGACAGTTTATAGTAACACGTGCTGTATGTGGTCTGGCAATGTCCTGCTGAAAAACCAGCCCAGGGCGCTGCAAAAGGAACGGTAGCAAAACAGATCTTAAGATGTCGTCGACGTACCGCTGTGCAGGAACTGTACCTCTAATGACGACCAAAGGGGTACGGCTGTCAAAGGAAGTGGCACCCCAAACCATAATGCCTTGTTGAGGGGCGGTGTGGCATGCAATAGTGAAGGCAGGATCCCCCCCCTGCCCAGTGCGTCTCCAAACACGTCTTCGATGATCGTCAGGACACAGTTGGAAGCGGGATTCATCGCTAAAGACTATACGTCCCCAGTCGGCATCATTCCAGCCTGATCTGTTCAAAACATTCATGCATACGAAATTTCAAAGCAATCGGATGATGCTTCTTGGTGCGTCGATTTTTTTGTTATAGAGTGTATATGGTAAAGCGTGGAATGTATTATTCAGATCAAATGCAACGATAATTAAAGAATTAAGTAGCACCAAAAAATTTGGTGCTTTACAAAATTGTGATATGGACCGACTAAAGGTAATATGAAGTAAAGAACAACTTTTTGTTCTTTACTTCATACTACCTTTGAAGTCTTCCAAGTTCCCATAACAAATCAATACCTCTAGGGGGTACTGAATTAGAGATTGACTGTTCTCTGATTCAGGTCAAAATTATGATATGTGGATGAATGAATGGGTCTATCCTATAAGCAGGCATGACGTATGGCTGTGGCAGAAGTAGAATTCGTGGCCATAGATCGCACCCCTCTGCCTAACGACTTTTTGTTCAAAATATCTACACCAAGTCACAGCTTTGCATAGAATTCTTTAATGTTCTACACTCCAAACTGCTTATATAATAATTCAATAATTTCTTCCTGTGGAATATCTGTTCTAATATTTTTTGAAGTCTTTAGTGAGTAGTCAAATAAACATTACCTGAATATGAGTCATCAATAATAGTATAAATAGAAATGGTTTATGAAAGATTTTAAAATTTAAATCTATGTTTAACAACAATTTTTTTTAAATCCAAAAGATTTATTTTAACAGTCATTTAATCCATAAATATACAATAAACTTATAAAATGCCTTTAAACTTAAAAAAAAATATTTATTTTCATAGAAAAATGTAGCAAACACTAATTAATATAAATCAAAAGAATGAGATTTTAGAAACAGCTTCAACAACCAGTATGAATGCTGAACTGAAGTAAAGACTTTCCTCAAATTATACGAGAACAATAATTACTCTCACAAAATATATTAAAGAACATTACAAATTCTATTTTTTAATTAAATTAAAAATATTATACACACAGTTAAAAACTTAAATTTCTAACTAATTAAGGAAATTAAATGTTCTCAAAAGTTAAGTTGTATAAATTTTAACTGAATGTGTAAAAATATACTTATTTTCAAAAACTTCAAATAAACATTTAATTTTATATGCAAAGTTATAAAGCATAATTAATTTAACAAATGCATTAATAAGAGTATACATACGAGCTTCAGCTAACAAACGTTGGAAAACAGCCTCTATTCTAACAAATAAATCAGCACAAATTTCTTCAAATTTATCCCTGAAAAAAAACAGCAAGGAAATAATTGAAAATTTTGCAAAAAAATATATGTGTTAAAAAAAGGGCATTTATTTATAAGAAACATTAATTTAGTAATTTTTTTTGCTCTCTATTCTTACTTATTAATGTCCACAAAATTATAAAGTAATAATATAAACTGCAGATTTTTATTATTTTTTTCATTTAATTTATAAGCTTCACAAGGAATTGCATATTAACATACTAATAATATTGATTTATACCTTCCCATGCTACTGCTAACATCTTTGTCTTCCATAAAACATTCAATATTTAATGGCAATGCTTGAGGATTGGCACTTAGTTGCTTTTTCAGTTTTTCACATTCTTGAAGGAGTCGAACTATAGCTCTTCGATTGCCTAAAACATTCAGGTTATATTTTTGCTTAAATTCTTCACTGAAATGACGAACCATACAATTATCAAAGTCTCTGCCACCAACACATTGGTCAGAAGTTGAACACAGCACCTATGGAAGAATTTTTATCCTAAAATTTTTTATTTAAAAATGTCATTGAAGAGCACTACTGAGTTATAAATAGACAATGTTCAGTAAATTATGAAGCACTGCTCAGTTGAGGGCACTGTGTATACCCAGTAAAAGCAATACTACTATACCAAATCAGGAAAAGTTATTTTATTTTATAACCAGAGTTGAATAGTTTAAGACTATTACTGTTCAGCTCCAAAGCTTTATAGTTTAGAACCCAACTCAGAAGACAAAGGAACCCCTGGATAAAGCAATGGGACAAACTAGCCTTCATAGAAGACTTTTTGATGGAACTAACCCACATTTATATTACATGGAGAGGAAAAATCACAAAAATCTAACACTGTTAGCTTGATGTCAAGAAAACTACAACCTATCATCCGTTCATCAATAAAGATATTTCACAATAGCACTGAGATTGGTGCGATTCAGGAGCAGAATTCGTATGAGCCACTGCAGCTCAGGGAAAGTTATTATTGTCAACAGTCAAAGTCTATATGTTATGTCGAAGTGTCATACTTCAGCATTATTTAATCTCATTAATGAGCAGTTTAGTGTATAAGTATCAATTTACTTATAAAAAGAATTTTTGTTTCATTTGAACCAATTTAAATTTTATTATAAAGCATGAAAAATTTAAGGTAATATATTTCTTCAACTAAAACAAAATATTTCTAAAGTAATGGAATGATAAAAAAAGACCAAAAATATCTTAATAGTGAGGTAAAGGTAGTTTTAGTAAAGATTTATGAACAGGAAAAATAAAACTATACTTTGTCATTTATTTTAACATGTTGAAGATTTAAGCATAAAATATGCTTAGAAATAATGCACATTAAATAAATTTATAAACAAAGTATTTGAAATTATCAGAATCATAAATAAAAATATACAGCAAAAATTAGTTTATACCAGTGTTTCCCAACGTGGGGCCCCACTCCCCACTGGGGGGCAATTTGATTGTTAAGGGGGGCAATTCGAAAATTGACTGGACACGAGTTTAACCCTTTTGCTCCGGCCATTTAAATGCAATGTTAGATTTCGGTGCCAACATTGAAAGAAAAAAGCAAATTCTTGAATAATTAAGGCTAATAAATATTACGTGACTTAGCGATTTTTTAGGCGACAAAACTGAAGTGAAGTATCTGTTAACAGTCGATCGTAAAGCATTTGTCAGTAATAACTCCCAACGTGAACTCCTTTGAAAAACTAAATATATTAAATGAGCAACTTCAAGGAACAAATGGAACTCTGTTTGATGCAAAAGCGAAGATATTTGGTTTCATTACCCTTATNCTAACATCTTTGTCTTCCATAAAACATTCAATATTTAATGGCAATGCTTGAGGATTGGCACTTAGTTGCTTTTTCAGTTTTTCACATTCTTGAAGGAGTCGAACTATAGCTCTTCGATTGCCTAAAACATTCAGGTTATATTTTTGCTTAAATTCTTCACTGAAATGACGAACCATACAATTATCAAAGTCTCTGCCACCAACACATTGGTCAGAAGTTGAACATAGCACCTATGGAAGAATTTTCATCTTAAAATTTTTTATTTAAAAATGTCATTGAAAAGCACTACTGAGTTATAAATAGACAATGTTCAGTAAATTATGAAGCACTGCTCTGTTGAGGGCACTGTGTATACCCAGTAAAAACAATACTACTGGACCAAATCAGGAAAAGTTATTTTATTTTATAACCAGAGTTGAATAGTTTAAGACTATTACTATTCAGCTCCAAAGCTTTGTAGTTTAGAACCCAACTCAGAAGACAAAGGAACCCCTGGATAGAGCAACGGGACAAACTAGCCTACATAGAAGAGTTTTTGATGGAACTAACCCGCATTTATATTACATGAAGAGGAAAAATCACAAAAATCTAACACTGTTCGCTTGCTTTTAAGAAAACTACAACCTATCATCCGTTCATCAATAAGGATATTTCACAATAGCACTGAGATTGGTGCGATTCAGGAGCTGAATTCGTACGAGCCACTGCAGCTCAGGGAAAGTTATTATTGCCAACAGTCAAAACAGGTGGTCCACCGTGTGGACATGTCTGGACAGCCAATACAATCACAAATAGAAATGGCCAATATGCATCTGCTTCTGGCACTTACAAAAACTAATGATGGCTGGATAGTGAACTTTGTTATTAGGGCAGCATATCGTTGGCAGATAGATAAGAACCTGCTTCCTCCCAGAATAATCGTTTGGCTACATGTAATTGTGCCTAATATCAGCCACAAATTAGTTGCCACAATTCTAAGACTTTTTTTTCCCTTATACATAGTAATATTTTCAAGATACATAATTAGTTGATCAAATCCATACATTTCCTTAAAGTTAAAATGGACCACTTTATGTGTGTTTAACATTTTATATGTGCTTAACTCTTTTTTCAAAATATTTAAAGTTTATTTTATAATAAAATTCCTTAAAATGCAACCAGAATTATATTTTTTTTTACTTGATTCTATCCAAGGAGATAAATTTTATAAACTAAATACAGTAGAGTCCCGATTATCTGAGTTAATGTGGACCACGATTGACTCGGATAACTGAAAAACTCGGTTAAAACGAAGAGTATAAAAAAAGAAAGAAAAAGAGTTGAGATAAACGTAATATATTTAAGAAATATAAAATTTATACGAGTATACCACATACAATTCCTATTATTATTAAAAAGCTTACTTGAAAAAATTTAAAAAGTATACTATGCGAGAATTAAAGAGTTTTTACTTTAAAAAATCCTTAATCGTTTTTTTGTTTTACATAACTTTGGCGCTTTTCTGCAGAAATGTTTCGCCATTTTTTAGGGATAACAGAAAGGCTGGTGTCGCCTCTTTTTGTTGTTCTATGTATTCAGTTGCATTTTCGACAGCTTTAAGTTCATCTGTGGGAGAGATTTTTATATGTTGATTTTCATCGTCACTGTCTTCATCATCTTCGCTAGGTTCATTTTCATTATTGACGATATTCACCATCATTTCATGGGATCAAGTTGTTAGATTTTGTTTTCCCGAGTGTTTGGAAGATAAAATTCAGATTTATTTTTCGGCGGAATTTTTAAAAATAAAAAATAAACTAGAACAAAAAAATCCTTAAAATATTTTATAGCTCGGTTAAAGCGGAAACTTGGATAACCGGGGCTCGGATTATCGGGACTCTACTGTAGAATTAAACTAAATAGAATCTACTCATTCATCTAGTAGTAGGGATAGAAAAAAAAAATTGAGTCTTGCAAGGGAAAAAAAGCTTAACCCAGGAATTTCAGGGTTATTTAAAACAGAAGCTTAAATAATATTTTACATCCAAAATTAAAAATAATAAAACCATTAAAAAATGTTCCCCTTCTTTCTACAATTATGCTACTGTGATAAAAAAGAAAGAAGAAATAATAAAGATTTTGAATATGCTTTTTCATTACTTTACAACTTCACTTAAAATGCAAAAAAAGTAAGCTCACTTTGCCTATATGTAAGTTATATGTTATGTCGAAGTGTCATACTTCAGCATTATTTAATCTCATTAATTAGCAGTTTACTGTATACATATCAATTTACTGATAAAAAGAATTTTTGTTTCAATTGAACCAATTTAAATTTTATTATAAAGCATGAAAAATTTAAGGTAATATATTTCTTCAACTAAAACAAAATATTTCTAAAGTAATGGAATGATAAAAAAGACCGAAAATATCATAATAGTGAGGTAAAAGTAGTTTTAGTAAAGATTTATGAACAGGAAAAATAATAATATACAGGGTGTTCCAAAATTATCTTTACAACTTCAAAAATTCATAACTTCGAACATAAACAAGATATTTTTATTCTGTCTTTTGCATGTATTACTGCAACTAATAAAGTTTTTTTTTCAATAGGCTGAAAAGTTTTAAGTGAGGATGTGGACAACACAACAGAAAGCTCAATGCGTCTCATGGCCGTATTCGCTCCACATTTTCTGGACTTGTGCTGGGTCGTCCGGCTCCACTTTTAAGCAATACTGATCCGGTGCTCATGAAGCTTGTGTGCCATGCACGGATGGAGGGTCTGGATGGTGGGTCTCTTTGGAAATTTGTCCTGAAGTTTCGTTGAACCTGTGTATCTGATTTCGTCTCTATGAACCATGAGACGCATTGAGCTTTCTGTTGTGGTGTCCACATCCCCACTTAAAACTTTTCAGCCTATTGAAAAAAAACTTTATTAGTTGCAGTAATACATGCAAAAGACAGAATAAAAATATCTTGTTTATGTTCGAAGTTATGAATTTTTGAAGTTGTAAAGATAATTTTGGAACACCCTGTACTTTGTCATTTATTTTAACATGTTGAAGATTTAAGCATAAAATATGCTCAGAAATAATGCACATTAAATAAATTTATAAACAAAGTATTTGAAATTATTGGAATCATAAATAAAAATATACAGCAAAAATTAGTTTATACTGATAGCAAAAAAAAAAGTGCTAAAAATAAAACTGAAAAATAAAATTTAAAATTCAGAACAGCACCATATTTTTATTTATGTTTTTTATTACAACAAGCATTAGACATTAATAACAAAATAAAGAAAAATAGTAAAAAAAAAAATTTTTTTTTTTACTTACTTTATGTAGGGGAGTTTTAAAAAAAAATTTTTTTTTTTACTTTAACTTGTTTTATAATATCATTATTTTTCAACTAATTTTTGAAACCATCAAAATATTCAGTTAGTGATAGTCTGCTTTAAAAAAAAAAAATCCACAATTGCCAACTTTACATTGACCATAAAAAGGGGACACTAATTCTGTTGTTGTATGCTTTCAAGGTAAAATACATAAGATTTTAAGCCTTTATTTTATAATAACGACAATACATATACAGCAGTCTTCACTAATATTTTGAGGACATAATGCTTGTAAACACATTAACTGATTAATAACAAAATAAGATAAATTTACCTTTATCATTTTATACCACATATATTCACATTTATAAATTATGCATAATCATAATTTTTTTAATTCATTGGAATGGTAGTTCCATCATCTATATTTTCCCCATAACAATCTAGCAAACTTCTCATTCTGTTAGCGTGGAAACTACAGGGATATTCCAACAATGGCACAGGGAAAGAAAAGAATAGGTTCTTGCCAAACAGACAGTGAATATTTCTTTGGCAGTAAAGATGATTTTTAAAGAAATAAATAAAATTACATTAAATGGTGTATGAAGAAAGACAATAAATTCAGATGAATGGAGGACAGAGTGATTTTAAAGAGTGAAGTGACTGATAACTCTACCTGTGATAATATTAAGTGGAGACTACTGTACTTAAACAAATACAGGAGAAAAGGTTAGGAAAATTTATTCACTGTTCCACAGGATCAGTAACTAAAAGATACAATTAGTTGAAGATAGTAGTAGTTATGTCATTTAGAAATATGATTATTGAATCAGATCTTTCTTGTTATCTGGATCATATAGTGACAAAGGTGGAAGAAAGTCAAACTAAAACTTTATCGAACATTTCCCTTAAAAAATTTAATTAGATGATTCTTACTTGCGCAACAAAAAAGAGGATGCAAAATGTATGATGCAACATTTTTTTTCGAAATATAAGTAAGTGTTATCTTTTGAGTATTTAATTGGATCTGTAATTAATCATGCCCCCAGCCCCCTTTCACACGCACAAATATACATATATTCACACAAATATTAAATAAAGTCAAATCAAACCTATTTATAATGTAATCATAACCAATTGAAAAGTGAAATTCATCTCAAACAGCAAAAATCAATACTTACAAAATAGTTTTAAGCATTAAACTATGAAAAAAAAATTTACAAATTTAGATATCGATATTACTATCAATATAACATTACTTAGAATAACTTAATAATACCCAGATATCTTGAGATAAAAATTAATAAAAAAAGCTGTATAATAGTTTACCTGTAACTTTCCTAAATAAATATCACACAGAGATGCTTGAACAGCACTATGTCCAATATCAATAAATACAACTTTCTTTGGCTTACTATCATTTACATCTTGACGGTAAAACCCATAGGCTAGAGCAGCTACAATAACAAAATAGTTTCACTACTTTTTAATAGAAATAACATACAAATTTGAAATGTACTAAAAATGCATTGATTTTTTCTTTATTAAATCACTATTATTAATTATGATAAGCAAAATATCAAAATATTTTGGTACGGGGAATATTGGTATGGTATCTCAGTAAATGAAAATTATCATAATGGCCAAATTTATAAGATATTGTGATAAATGTTTCATTACAAAAAGTTGTTAGAGGATAAATGTTTCATTATAAAAGAACCACCTAAATCGAGATATAAACAATTAAAAAGATATTTTACTAATATATCCAATTGACATTACATACTTTGTGCATATTCTCATGTACACATTACTCACTTCTTTTATCATTTTCTTTAACTATTTTAAATCTAAACTCAAGAAACGTATACATTTTAAAAGTTACGCTGACAAAAAATTTACTTAAATATTGAAAATTAGTCTGATATGATGTCTAGAGAAATTTTTTAAATGTCTAATGAGAGCGAAAGAAATTGACCTTCAATCAAAGTTATATTTCGTTCTTCAAAGGAAGATATTAAACTGTATGTTTTAAATTTTTCACTCACTCTAAGAATGTAGAATGGCAAGATAAATATAAACGATAAGTGAGCAAATTAGTGATGTCTACATAATAATGAAATGAAATCATGTACTAAATATTTAATATGTGCAAAATATATAATACTATGCCAGGGTTATACTAACTTGCGGTGTGTGTGTGTGTCTGTGTATATACAGTGTATGTATATATAAATTATATACAACTTTTACTACTTCTTTATACATAAATTATAAATTCCATTTCTTTTTCATAAATAAAGTTTAACTACACAATATAAAAAATGCAAGGTTGATTTTTAGATTTATGGTATTGCTACTTTTTAAGCTTTCTTTGGAATAGTTTAATTTTGTTGTGAGAAAAGAAGAAATTACTTAATTCTATTAAAGTATCAATATTAAAATTAAATTAAAAAATAACTACACACAGTTAGGAGATTAAAGTCTTACTCTCAGTAGAATAAAATAAATAAAAAAAACTATATTAAGATTTTTCTTATCATTATACTTTAATTCCCTTAAATCCTAAGATTTCTCTTCATTTATCAAAATTTAATTAAGCCTACATATTTAAAGATTCAAACTCATTGCTATACAATATTTCTCTTTTAAAAAATGAAAGACATACAGCCTTTCGAGAAACATTCCAAACAGAATTTGAATTAAAATAAAGAATGCAAATAAATATTCCAAAATGAAGTAAAAAATTTAAAAAAAAAAAAAAAACTTAAAACTGTGAAGAATATTTTCCTCTCATTTAGAAATTGACAATTTAAGCTATTTCCGCTGTTTTTTTTAAATATTTAATATACATTATTAATATTACGTAAGGAATATAAAAAAACAATAAGCTGATTGATTATTTAAACTCAATGAAGATATAATTGAAGTTGACATTAGAATTTGGTCAATACATCAGATAATATCAATGCTATGTAATAATATAGGAGTTTTTCTTTTTTTTTTAACATCAGAAATTATGATTTTCCCACAATGCGTACAATTCTTTCTGATGTATTCTTTACATCCATGACTGCACACAGGATGAAGAGCATTGTTCCAATCAGACACCGAAGAGCATTTTCTTCAATCATAAGTGAACAGTGATTCATTGATTCTTTCATCATGGCTTATCAAATAGAGAAATACGCTTGGCTGACACGACAAATCTCGATGTGAATGCGAATAATCGAGAAGTGTTGATTCTTTCAGATATTGAAATGTTTTCTTTTAATGGTGCATCATCTGATGTAGATATTTTTAGAATTAATCCAGCCATTCATTGATTTTTAACTGCTATTTTGCAGATATCCACATTTTTAAGATTAAGATCTTCAGAAATATTTGTTTAAGATGAATTTTGATGGTATATTTTTAATTGTCCTCCCATTATAGGTAGCTCCGTTTTTCCCCCCAATTTTTTTTTCAATGTAATAGTTATATCACTTATAATGTTACTGATATGATTTGAAATTAAAAAAAAAAAAACGATAACTAGACAAATTTATAGCAGTTTTTGACACTTTCATAGAATTCAAAATCTTATCTCCTAGTCCAGAGGTGGTAAACCTTTATACACCAACGTGCCATTTTTTCTAAAAAATTGTTTAATGAGGTCATAAACGTGCCGTCAAATAATTTTGACTTTGTGATGCGTGATACCTATCACGATTATATACGTAATTAAACTTAAAGTAACATCAGTATGACTTTTGTTGTTACAGATTAGATGACAAATAACTTATGTTAGGTTGTAAGATGTTAATTTAAGCAGGACTGTTAATTTTTTTTGCTAGTTGTTTATTGTGGCTTGTTTTTTATGGTTATTAATTGTTTTTTTAGAATTGTTAATTTTTTTTAATAATAATTGTTTATTATTTTGTTTGTTTCTTGTGAATTTCAATTTAATTGTTACAAATGCTTCATAGTGCTTCATACATTTGTGTAATAACAATAGTGAAATAGCAATTGCGATCGGGGGCGTGCCCGAAATATTTTGTAGCGCGACATAAATGGCACGTGTGCCACTAGTTCGCCAACCCTGTCCTAGTCGTAGTTGACGTTCATGTACATAGTTATATAAAAGTAAACTGTTGTTTAAATTCAATAATAGTATTCATAAAATTTTTTTATTAAGACTAANAACTACACTCCCCACTAATACTCAACTTATTTAATTGTTCCTTTTTTTTTTTTTACGCATTTTGTTTAGTCAATTTAATACATTATCATAATTTTTTCACAAAGTACTTGAAGAGAGACATTCCATATTTTTCGTTATAGATATAGCATTATTTTAGTAATATGTGGCAAGGAAAAATAAAGATTTTGCTAATGTTAAATAACCAAATATGCAAAAAATATCAGTAATCATCAACATATACATTCAAAGATAGTTTACTTTTTGTATTTTCACTTCAATTTAATTTTATGTTTTGTAATTTGAATGTAATTAAGAGTGTGACTTTTTCATTTTGTAACCAGTTTCATAATTTGTTATCCTAGAACATCAAGCATCATTATTTGAGGCTGTCTAAATTTCTATTAAGAAATTTCTAGAAATTAAATTCAAAAATGTGAACTGAGTTCAAAATAAGCATGGTTCACTACACATTTGCATTCCCAAACTGTCAAATAGGATGTTGCTGGAGGAGGTTGCTCATTAGTTAATAGAAAGAATCAATCAATCCACCTTCTTGGCTGTCAAGTTTAAGGATAGTATTTTAACTAAACGTACATAGTTCTGCTTCTGCTTATATTTACTAAATCTACTAAATGATTAAGGTAATTCCTAATTGAAATATTTGGATATCTTATTACAAATATGAACCAAATAGTTTTAGTAAAAAATAAATACTTACTGAAATAACACAATCTTTAACTTTGTTTTGATAAGCTGTCTCTGTAATCAACTTTAGCTTAGTTATAAGCATAGCAGCAATTTGATTTGAGGTAAACTTAGATTCTTTATTTAAATATTGCACCTGAAAGATGAAAGACAGTAACATAATTTTAAAAATTCAAAAAAAAAATTTAAAAAAAAAAAAAATTCTAAATACGTCTTAAAAAATACAGTTACATAATTTGTCTTAACAAAACTTAAATTAATATGCATTTACAGTAATGAGATTTAAACTATTAAAAAGCTGGTGTAATAAAAAAATTCATTTTTTAACTAATAAAACAGTCGAAATAAAAAAAAATTGCAGTTAATTACAAAGAATTAAATTTTTAACATTTGAAATACTTTATTTATATTTTGTTTAATATTTCTACTTTAATCCTTTCAAGACTTACGTGCCTCACTGGTTTTTTTTAAGATGAGATACATATGTCCCAGTGGGGCTAAAGGGTTAAAAAAAGCCTCGAACAACTTATCAAACTAAAAAGGGGATCATCAGAAATGCCTTGATCTTGCTTATTACGAGTCATGATACTTTGCTTTAAAAGAGAAAACTTTCAATGAATGGCTGGTTTATTGTTAAAAAGCCATTATATAACTTTGCTATTGAGAGCTCATCTTCGATTGAACAAGGAACATTTCACAAACCTTTGGAAAATAATTTTGGAAAAATTGCCAAGTAAAAAAAAAAGTAATTGCTTGCTAAAATTTTTAATTTGTTCAAAAGCTTTTAAAAAACCTTGCTTCGCTCAAAATATATACTACTTTACCATATATATCAGTGAAATGTAATATTTTCAAATCTCTAAAATGTTATGAAAATCATGGAGTAGACTTACACACCGGAAATAAAGTCGTACATTCGATGATCATTAAATATTAATGCAACGTCATAAAATGAACAGTCTTCATAACAAGAGCAAATCAACATCTAGTTAGATTAAATTAAAATAGTCTTCCTTAGCATGACAATAGCATTAGCATAGGCAAGGATAGGATCCTCACATGAAAAATCATCCTATTGTGAATGTCTTCTTATATCCGTGACTGAAGTCTAAGTTCCAATACATCCCTCGAAATGAAAGCCATTATATAGCTATGACGATGTAAGTGCTAAATCGATATTTGCAATATATCGCCCAGTCCTAGATATGGATATATCTTCTATTGCATTTATTGTTAATGGGTACATTGTTACCTTTTCATTAACAATTTATAATAACTTAATGAATTATAAATTTAATTAAACTTAACATTTCAATTAACTATAATACATACCACAAATCCAACATTGCCATTAGGATACTCATAAAGAGGATTAGGCAAGTAAGACATTTGATTCTGCAAAGGTTGATCCTTAAATTTATATCCTACGATACGCTTAAAATTACACACAGTATTTTTTATATTGGTGACAAATTTATTTTTAGCAGAGGTTCCCAAATCACGACATGTTGGTCCAAATGCAACATATGACCTAAAAAAAAAGAAGAAAAAAAAGAGATAATAATTTTTTTTTTCCAGAAAAAATTAGTAAGTTTTCAAAAATTAAAATTTCATGTGCACTGCTTAAATAGTATGTATATATTTAAGGTTAGATCCTTGAACCTAGAGCCCTTGAGTCCTAGTACTTGAAAATCTGTCTATCAGGTCAAAAGTTATTCAATATTCTGAGTGTCCACTCTTTTCTTGGTTGATTAATTTTTAAGTTAAATGTATTACTAAATATTCTTTTTCTTTGAATTTTAATTTTCAGAATGAAATTGAACTTTGTTTCTGTTACTTATTGTTATTAACTTCATTAATAGCCCTTTACTTATTTTGTTGTATCTGTTAGTTATTTTTGAAAGTTATTTATTTTTTAAAGTTTGAACTTTATATATTTTTTTTCCAAGTTAAATAATAAATGCATTATATGTGTTTATTCAAAAGCGGCAATGACACAGCAGTGAAGGCATTGAGCTGTCATTGAAAAGTACTAAAATTCTATACCAGGTGGAAGCTTGAAGCCTGTCATGTATCTGGCAACTCCTGATAATATTGAACTGAAGCAAATTAAATCCACTCACTTTCTCTTAGACATACACAAGTGCTTGACAAATAAATTTAATTATCTATGCCTCATTTGCTTCAAAAATTTAACAAAACCCACCCATAACTCCATATCCTTGGGTACATGCTTATTAGTTACATACATGCATTGCAATGCCGTCCATGTTGCCATTGGTCACGGAATATATACCTACTATTGGTTGTTGTTACAGGAATACTTTAGTTTACTTTTATTCATATTTAATCAAATAAATAAGCACACTTTCATTTCTCACAGGATACCTTACCAAACAGTAAGCCCTTAACAATTTGGGCCATCTTTTATGGGCAAACGAAATCATCAAAATGTCTGAAAACTTTATTGAGGTTATCAATATCTTCTTCCTCTTTTGATTTACATTATTTCATACTACTTAAGCTTTTTATAATGCTATTAATAAAATTACAAAGTAAATTTAACTTTCGATTCTAATTTATCCTGTTTATTCATATGGAGTAAGGTGCGAAAACAATTTCTGCTTACGTCAGAAAATCTGTTTGATCCAGCCTTGAATGAAAAAGTGCAAGCTGTCATATTTTTAATGCTTTCTTATCTTGTGGAAATGCATTTTTAAGGCAGATATGATTTATTAAACATTTTTCCTGAACAGCACAAGTTTAAAAACAAAACTGAAACACTCCTGCTTTTTTTTTTAATTGAAAAAAAAAATAATAAAAATTTAAAAATAAATTTTTTTTTGTACAGAAATATTTTACAATATGCATAAAAAATAAATACTTTTTTAAGTAAAAAAGGAGTAAAAGTTTCCACAAAGTTTACATTTGAACAAACATACAATTTTGTAGAAATGCATGTTTGAAGCAGTTAGGAGAAATGATTTAGCAAACATTTTTAAATTCAATATAACCAAATTAAAGAGTAAAATTATTCCGAAGAATTACAAGTTTGAAAACAACACAATGGCACTTAAAATAATTGTGGCATAATTTCAATTTTATTGAATTTGAATTTCATTAATTTCCAGCATTAAGTTCAATAATGGTACTTAGTGTAATGAAGAAAAAAAAAGAACTGGAAGATTTCGACATAGTAATAATGGCTAAATTTTGGTCACTTCTGATAGCAGTCTGCAAGAAACTTAAAAAGATAACATCACAGAAGAAGACATAGTTAAATGGTATAACTTGTTGCCAACCCGGGTCAAAAATAATTTTTTTTTTTAATTTTAAAGTTAATAATCCATTCCCCCCCCCCCCATGGCTATTGCAGTTGGCATCACAAGGAACACTTTGTCGAAAACCATATTGATCTCGAAGAATACAATCGCACCTATTTATCTCGAATCTCACAGGAAAGGTGAAAAATTTGAGATAGAGGTTTTGAGTAATACAGGTACTTAAAAAATATTAAATTTAATTAAGAAATTCTATTTAAAGTGCTTTAATTGTTTTTAGTAGAAAAATACAGGCATTTCTTTAAATTAATTATGCCATATACATCTATTTACATAAATTTTTTTAACATAGCAGTGTTTTCACTACAGCGCGAGAATCTCGCATATTTTTTTCTTTTCTCGCATTAAAAAATTATTACCGCGAGAAATTCGCGTATTTTAAAAGCCAATTTCAAAATTCGCGAATTTCTCGCATTTTGAAAATAATTTCTCACTGCGCCATTTAGAATAAAATCCGTTACATTTTTCTTCCTGGATCTTTCATTATTTTCAACATCTGCCCATTATCTAGCTTCCCTATTTACCAGTATTGTTCAGAACCTTTAAGAACAACAGAACACCATCCCTCGGAACCACGAAACCTCTTTCAGAACGCATTTCTCTGCAACCACGTGTTTACCGTAGTTAAGGTTTCTCCATGTAAGAAGTTCAAATTTTTTGCCCATTAATGTAAGATGGACAAATACCTTGTAAAGGCAATATCTTCTACTCCGAAACGGACAAATGAAAATGAAACAAACGTGGGTAGAAACGATCAAAACGACACTGATTTGAGCAACCTAATGAGAATAGCTGATGAAAAAGTAGATGTAGAACATTTTGCATATGATGATGCAGCAAAAATATTCAATACTTTAAAAATTAGAAAATGTTAAAAATGTTTTCTATAATTCACTTTAAAATTCTTAACTATCCTTTAATCCATTGGTTACAATTTTGAGATGAAAATGAATTTTTACTCTTAGCTTTCTTATTTATGTTAAAAAGTTAACCCCTCAGTTACTGCCAGAATCATTGTATAGTTAAAGATAGTGATTGAAATTCCAAGAAATACCCCCAACTTGTTCATTCCTACTTCCTGTGGGTTCACGAAATTTATCTCTGTCTACAAGTTCTACAGATAAAGAAAGTTTTGACATTTGCGCTCTAGTATTAGAAATTTGAGAAACGCAGGTTTTGAAAAAACATGGAAAATACATTGTATTTTGACAGTAAATGTAGAGAATTTCAGAAATTTTGAAATGTAGAGGTTTTCGAGATAAAGAGGTTCGAGAGAAACAGGTTCAACCGTATAACAAAACTGATAATTGTGTAATAAAATATAAAGTCAAACATTTCATACTGTTAATGTTTTTTAAAAAAAATAAAAATAAAACATAAGAGGTCTACAAGTTAAAAAAAAATTTTTTTCAATGACTTATTGGCATAAAGAAATAGGCTAAGTAGAATGTGGATGGAATTTTTTCTTCATATTAAATTGGCATATTCTACATCATTTTTAGTAAAATGTACAAAGAAAACTAAACTGGATGAATTTTTCATATGTTCCTATTTCCCTTTTCCTCGAAGTGACCTTGAAAATAGTATTTTTTACACCAAAATTTTCAATGCCAATTACAAACTACCAATTCCTATAATAATTTTACTTGTTTTTTTTTACAATATTTACACTTATAATGTGCTTGGTAAATTTCTTATCCAATTTTCAAAACAGAAATGTAACAAGAGTCACCATAAATTTCTCGTAATAAATGTGTAAGGATTTAAAACTTTTTTTACGGCTGCCATTTAAGTTGTCCTTAATTATACTTGAAATAATTTAAAATAATATTTTTTTTACATAGTTCATAATATTTTATTACTTCATGTTCTTTGTAGATAACAAGAGTAACCATATTTTAGATTCACCATTTCATAAAACTATTAAAATTTGCCAAGTTTTTCTTGCATAAATAGTAAAGGCCCATTCTCTGTTATTCAGCATAAAAATTTTACAATTCAAAATAAAAATCTCATACATAATTTGATGTGCATTGCAGTGTGCATTGCAAAATGGGAGAGAATTTCTCCCCCTTTTCTCAAAAACAGGGTGAGATTTCAAAAATTTAAGTGAGATTTCTAAAAATTTAGGTTCAGAAAAAAAATATTTCTTTAATTATAATACATTTTTAACATCTTCTAATTGAATATTTTTGCATCTTCATATGGAAAATGTTCTATATCTACTTTTTCATCAGCTATTATATTTATTTGGTTGAAAAATATCCGTATTTGTTTAGTTTTGACCGTTTCTACCAACATTTGTTTAATTTTCATTTGTTTGTTACTAAGTAGCAGTTGTCGCCTTAACAAGGTATTTGTCCATCTTACATTCATGCACAAAAAATGTAAACACCTTACATGAAGAAACCTCACCTACGGTGAACACGTGGTTGCAGAGAAATATGTTCTGACAGGGGTTCAGTAATTCGGGGGGTGGTGTTCTGCTGTTAGCATTGGTTCTAAACAATACTGGTAAATAGGGAAGCTAGATAACAAGGACCGATGCTCAAAATAATGAAAGATCAAGGAAGAAAAGTGAAACGGATTTTATTCAAAATGGCCAAAGACGAAATTTTTTTCACAATTCGTGCATTTTGAAATTGATTAATAGAGTGTACAAACTTATCGCGTTAATCATTTTTTATTGAGAGAAAATTTTAAAAATATGCGTGATTCTCGCGTTGTAGTGAAAACACTGCATTGATACAATGCATATAACTAGAGAAATTATGGAAAAGTCCAAATGTGTTCCTTCACAATATGAAGGCGACCTGTTAATATTTCTATAAAGGAGACATTTCTATATTGGTAACTGTTTGCACCAATAAGTATCATTTAAGCCCAAAAGGGTTTAAAGTTTTGCAAAATTGATTAAAAAATTAAATATATTATAAACTTTAGTTAATTCCCTCAAATTTTTTTTTCTTCCTATTACTTACATGTAACTGCCCAGAAATCACCAAACCTGGGTAATTATTTTGGCCTAAGTACCATTATTGATATCATTCATAATCAAATATAGAAGGTTATGTCAGGTGGGATAAAATAGGAATAGATAGCTAAATATCCATTCTTTTTGATCAAGGTATTTAGTTTATACTTTAATCAAAAAAATTGATTAATTAAGCACTATGCCCAGGATTCCCTAAAATCAGAGAAAGTGGTTTTTCTTATTGACTATTTAATTATCATAGCCCTATGTAGAATGTAACAATATTTTATCATGATCTCAAATGGTCGTAAATATGATTAGAAATTAAATAATTATAAAAACAAATACTAACAATTTGAAGGAAAGTCCAGTTTATTAACTTTAAATTCATAGCAAAATATAAACTGCTCGGTAAAACAATATCAAAGGAAGAACTATTATCTCTTTGATTTCGAAGTAGACTTCAACCTGCATTTCAAATAACGGTATGGTTTTTGAAACCCGAAAATTATAATATGAAATTAAAAAAACGACACATAATAGGATAACAGAATATAATGATGTTATAAAACTTTTCACAAAACAAATGATGAGAAATTTCGTAACTAACAAGTTATTAATGTGATAAACAGTTAATAAAACACTAGGATATTAACAACTGAAAAAGTTGACCTCAATGAAATATATTGGTTTTGTTTAAAATAGAATTCACCCATTTATACTTACGGTGTCGCACGCTGACTATACTCGTTAGTAACTATTTCGATTCCTCCAGCTCTAGCTACAGCAACGTAACAGTTTTCATTACCAAAATCAATACCAACAGCAGACATGGTAAATTTAATAATTTTGTATCTAAATTTATAGTACTTTTTACTTGTTAGTAAAAACAGCGGTATGAATTCATAACAAATTAGTCATCAAAACAATTTTTTCCAAACACAGTCAAAAAGTAAGACTTGTCTGCTATCATAAAGTTGAGTAGGCAGAAGACCGGATATTTTTAAATTTTATTTCCGTGGCCAGATTGTCAAATATAAAAAGGTTGTGGAACGCCAGAATACGCCACCTGGGGAGAAGACCTGATCCATGTCTTGACACTCCCCCCTTTTCTTTCCTCCTCTTCTCAGCTGTACTGGAATGTACGACGATATTTTCACATTTTTTAATATTTTTCGTATCTAATAGTCAAAACTACTTTTTTAATTTTTCAAAAAGCTTTCTTTTAGAGCTACTATGTTCTGATGAAATTAAATTATAATTGCAAATAAACAGGTCATTTTTGAGATAAAGAAATATTTTAATAATATATTAAAAATTTGGTTATTTTAATCATTCAGGATATCAGAAGCAATTTTCTTTTAACGCTGATTTTAAAGTTTATCTCAAAATTTTAAGTATATTATTATCATTGTTTTTATTAATTTAATTTCAGAAATTTTAACATGATTATTCATTTGAAATTTGAGACAAAAAGCTTGCTTTTTTATTTTTATCATGTTTAAAATAATATAATTGTAAAAAATTTCTTTGACTTCAAGCTGAATAACATTTACATTTTAATAAAAATTCCCAATCAATGTAGAAAAGAATAATACTTAAACTTTCATCTGAAAGGTTTGTATATTCTTTGTGAAAACATGTTGCACGATTGCATCTTCTTTTTTTTTTTTTTTTAAGTCCCATTTAGGACATTTACATATAATGTAATGTAATGTAATTTACATTTAATGTTACATAATCTCTTATCATCAAAATACCAAAAATGGAATTGATTGACTTAGTACGAAAGTTTTGTGATAGCAACATTCTCAAAAGGTAACTGATAGTAGTCAAACTTTTATTATTAGTAAAGGCAACTTATAATAAAAAAAGATGTTATATATTTTCGTCTATTCTTGTATGTAATTAAATGTTAGTGCAAATTTAAATTTGATAAAATACAAAATTTATTACTATTTTTTGTTTCAAAATTCGAATGTTACCTAAATCTTTGGTTATCGAATCGTTAAAAATTTCTGATGTGCTAATTTTGCATTGGCACATCAGAAACTATTTTTTCATTACGAAAAGTAATTGGCAAAATTTTTAATTAAAATTCTTAAAGGCTTTTCTGGGTGCACTCCCTGAAAATATTTCTACGGGTGCCTTTGAGTGTTGCTTCAAGTGTTTTGTTAAGTAAAATTTCAGATTCTAAATTTAAAGGTTACGTAAGTATTTTTCCATTTAATATCAGTGAAAAATTTATGCAAGTATGAGTAATTTGAATATTTTTAAATTCTCTTCATTGTCTCGATTATTACAAAAAATAACAATTTAAAAATTCGAAATATTATTTTATTTTAATATTTTTGGAAGTGAATGACAAAGTTATAAAGGTAAATTTTCATTTCAAATCAGATGTAAATTTAACTATAATTATGTAGTGTGGTCTTTTGTAATATAATTTCAGAATATAAATAATGAATGATCATTTGGAAGTTACAAATGGCTTAGGTTACGACTTTTATAAAGCATATTTTACAAAACTAACAAATTCAATTCAGATTTTGATAAAATACGCTCATTTCTAAACAAAAAATTAAGAATAAATTTTAAAATTTAGGACTTGAAAATTATTAATGATTCATCAGAAAACTCACTGTATGAAGAAAAGAAAAAAATAGCAATAAAAGTTGTAATATAGTATTTCTTAAATAAATTTGAAATAATCAAAAAAATCAGCTGAGCATAAGATATATGTTCAGGGAGGAGTAAAAGGGAGTAAAATGGATGGTAGCAGAATTCGCTAATATAATTTTATTTACTATTTCTGTATTGCTAAGTAAATAATGAATAGAAGGATATTATAAAGCTACTGCTCTATGTTTTACTGCTTCACAGCAATACAGAAAAATAATCAAAATTATATCACCGCATTATTCTACTACCATCCAAATCTTCCTCTTGCATACTCCAAAAAATAAAAAGCAACGCAAAATAATATCAGAAAATACAAAATCTAATATTATACAGAGTTAAAAATAATGCAAAACAATATTACGGCGAATGCTAGATAATATTAGTTTGCATAGAATCTAATATTCTCTAATGCAGAGCAAACAGCGACCTCTTGTATCTTTCCAATATTTGAAGTTGTGCAAGATAACGTTAGATTTTACCGGTTTTCTGATATTATCTAGTATTAGGTGCTACTTGGGTAATGTTAGAACTCGCCCCGGCAGAAAAATCTTCTCGTTTTAGCTTAAATACGCAATCTACCACATGTGAAGCACAATTTATCTATATTAGATTCAGTATGTCTGCTCTTCGAGAAAGACAAACCCTCGTTGGCACCAATCTACGGCTATTCTATGCGGAACTTCTGCTTTGAACATTTTTATCAATTGAAGCTATCTTTGATAGTTATTTTCAACATATTATATTTTACAGGAAGAAAAAAAATAGAGAAAGTAAAAAGGTCATCAGTACCTTGTTAAAAGAAGGAAGAATAAAAATTGCTTTAAGCAAAGTAGACAGGAAAATGGATGTATATTGTATATTGTTTATACTCTCCCCGGATCGGCAAGTTAAAATTTTATCCTTGGACCGGATAAAATCTTCCAGCCGGCCACAGTTGGCAAATCCCTGGTAAAGGGGATATGGATGTCAAAGTATTATGCTATAGTATGTGGTGTGAATGTAAACAATAACAAGCTTCCTAAAAATGGAGAAAATTAATTTATAGTTTGTTTTGACTACACTACGAACTCCTCCTGCCACAAATAAACTAATTCCTTAAACTAATTTTCTCTGTGGAGATATTAAAGAGTTACAAATTATTATTGAATTTTGAAAGTGAATGAAAAAAAACTAGCATATTATTAATTACAAATGTTTAAATATTTGAAAATTCAAAATTATATAGCTTGAACGCTAAACTTTTTAAACTCATTTTGACAGATATTTCTTTGACAGATATTTCCGAGTACTAATGAAATTTTGAAAGCAAACGAAAGAAATTATTTTGCTTTTCAATCACCTTTTTTCTGTTCTAGTTCTTCTTTCAGAACCTCAGCTATCAGATCAACGCCTACTTCAAGTACATGGTCAATAATCGCTTCTATGATAGTTAAAAGAGCTTTTAGCAATAAAAGTTCGTAAATATAAGTTCTGGTATTAGACTGTTATATACTATAATAGTCCAATACCAGTGCCGTTCTAGTATTGGACTTGGTTGAACAAGCGAAGGTTGTAACGTGTGATCACAAACGAGAAACCAAAAACCGGTTTCTTAACTAGTTGCCTCCACTTGGTTGCCCTAGTGTCATCAGCACTTATGGAAACAAGAATGGCGCATTTTAAGGAGGTTAGCTTCACTCTACCACTAACACAATAGACTGAAGAAAGAGATTCAGATTATCCCTTTCTCTCTTTGAACTATTCCAAAATAGTGACGTGACCCCACACCCCTACTTGAAATAGTTATATCTCGTTAACCATAGCCACCGCCACAGGTCCAGACAAATTATAGAATAATTCCGATGTATCCCTTTTCTCATGTTATGGCTTTCGAGGTGGAGATGAGTGAACAGGCTTAATATTCTATGAAGTTTTGTTAATGTGATTTATGTATAATTTTACGTGCGCAATTTTACAATTGTTGTTGTTGTTAATTTACGTCGCACTAGAGCTGTACAATGGGCTATTGGCAACGGTCTGGGAAACATCCCTGAGGATGATCCGAAGACATGCCATCACAATTTTGATCCTCTGCAGAGGGGATGGCACCCCTGCTTCGGTAGCCCGACGACCTGCACGCGAAGTCGAGCACTTTACGGTAGAACAGTTTAACGAGGACCAATACCGCACACTCTCGGTCCCTACGCAGACTGATCCAAGTGGTCACCCACCCGCACACTGACAGCAGCCAGTGATGCTTGACTTCGGTGATCTGCTGGGAACCGTGTCTAAACGATCAGTCCACTGCGGGACCAATTTTACAATTCATAAAGAGTTTTCTGTAATTTATAATTTCTAATTGTATGTGAGCCTAAAGCAAATTGATGAAAATTAAAATCACAACACAAATAAAGTGTAAAGTTTGCCATATTTTGGTGTTATCACTTATTTGGCTATACTTTCGCAAAATATCACAGGTATATTTTTTAGGTTACATCTTGCAGGGCATAGTAAGCTTGTAGAGTCTTCCAAATTCATATGTTGTGTGTTTTGTTAAAATTTCAATTAAAAGGACGTGTTATATTGCTGTTGTAGTTTATTTACGTCGTACTAGAGCTGCACAATGGGCTATTTACGACGGTCTGGGAAACATCTTTGAGGATGATCCGAAGACATACCATCACAATTTTGATCCTCTGCAGAGGGGATGGCACCTCCGCTTCGCTAGCCCGACGACCTGCATACAAAGTCGAGCACTTTACGGTAGAACAGTTTAACGAGGACCAATACCGCACACCCTTAGTCCCTACGCAAACAGATCCGTGTTATATTGCAAGCCCTACATTTGTAATCATATTTCATGTTGCCCTTTTTCAAGTTTAGGCGAGAACATCAATCAGAACTAGTAACCCGGAAGTTTTACGAGGAACTTTATTCCCTAGTAACTTTATTCCCTGTAAGCCAGAAACTGACGAACATGAATTTGATTGGCTAACATTTTGAGCGTAAATGTTTTTACCCAATCAGGTTTTCATTATTAATTTATCTTTTTTCTCACACACTTCTTACTCGCTGTTCTCACACTGCTTAAATGCATATGTGATGTTGCCAAAATTCTAAAACTTTTAAATAGCAGGAAGAAGGGGGAAATTTAACTGTCACATTCGTTTTTACTCTAGTTTGTGCATTGACTGGTGTTTGTTTATGTTTATAAATTGAAATAAAATTTCTATACACTATAATCTTATCGTAAGAAAAGTTATAGAATTTTGTGTCATTAATTTACACATTCTGTTATACATCTTAAAATTTCAGGTTAAGAAGAAAAAGATGCGGATCGTTTTGTTATAAAATATGATGCTTCTCATGAAATTAGTGATTTATGTATAAAAATCACTTTTGACTTGACGTTGACGAATCAGTATTCTCTTTTATATGAGGTTAAAGAACTGGCATTTCCGATGTTCGGCATGAATTGATTTTGAACATGTGGAATGATTTTGAACATGTAAGGAAATGGTGACATAGAGATGTTAAAAAATTTTCTTTATGACGGTTGCAGCCATGGCAAAAAAATTCAAATTACTAGCCAGCAAATTAGCCAAATATCAAAAGTGTTCACCAAATTCCCAAAGTCTTAGCTAAAGCAAATCTAAATATGATTAATTTTTCCCCCACATGAATCTTTCAGTCAAAATACAAAGTTGCTATAACTTGAATTATTTTAACAAATCATCTTTGAGGCTAAGAAATAAGATAAGTTGTGGTTTATTTTTGATAACCTCTTACATTACAACAGAAATTTAAAGATAAACCTGTAAGAATATTTGGTATTTATTTAGATTCCGACTATCTTTTAAATAAATATATTTAATTTTAAGTAAAACATTTCAATGTCTTATTTTTCAATAGCTGAATTTTTACTGGTGCGTTTATAATCATTCAGAAGAAAAGGATCAAGGTAGAAAATAAGTTATTTGAATCATTAATCATTGGATGTTTTTAAAAAGTGCCTAATTTTCCCTTTTTGAAAATGAGATTTTTCCTTGATGTTGATTTTCACTATGAATTATGCAAAAAGACACATTGTTTTATTCAACATTTTCGCTATTAATTCAACCCCAATCTATTTCGGCATATTGTCAGTCCTTAGCGTATTAAAACGTAATTCGTTTTACACGATTCAAAATTTTATGATTTTTGACAATTGTGAAAAAGAATACCGAAAGGTTTTTTTTTATATGACGGTTAAAAAAAGATAAAACCGTCAATTGTCGAAAACTTTCTAATCATGCCTAATTATGATATTTTTTTAAAGTGCTTAAAAATATTTGTGGAGTGCTTGAAAAGTGCTTAAATGGTGCTTATTTTTTGTTGAATAATTTGGCTACTCACCCTGTATATGTATCATGGAAAAATGGTAATCTATGAATATAAAATTAAAGTTAAATTTACTGATTTTGGCAATCGCTTAAAATTTTACAATTTATTTTAATAAAAATATGTTTTAGTCTTGAGAACACTTATTTTCGAGAAAAATATTGGGATGATACCTAATATGCATCTAGCTACCACTTAAAAAAAAAAAAATCTGCTGACGCTAACTGTGGGAAAGAATTTTGTTATGCGATATTGTGTGATCTGGCAACAAATGTTTTAATCTGTNTTTTTTTTTTTTTTTTTTTTTTTTTTTTTTTTTTTTTTTTTTTTTTTTTTTTTAGTGTTCACATAATCTCTTTTGTTGCTTACATTATTTGGATTTAATATAATTCTTATTAGTTACGTAATATATTTTGGGGAAATGTGATTGAATAAAAAATACAAGATTTGTTCCGAAAAATTCATATTGGTGTAATTTTCAGGATCTAGGGAAGTATAGATTTTTCTATTCCGAAGAAAAAAATTGTTCGCTTAAACTTTTGTCAAAACTTAATTTCCTTTGCCCAATTTACGATTTTATCACATTTGGCAAGGTGGTGAATGCTTAACATGGGCCCTTGAAATGTTTTATTGTTATTAGGATAAGTTTTTCATTAAAACTGAATTCCACACGATTATCGATGAAAAGTTTTATAAACTGGTCTAAAATTTTTTAAGGCAAAATGTTTTTAACTAATAAAATATTGGTATATTTGTAAATGAACGAAAATTGCAATAGAGGTTTCATAATGAAAGTTACTAATACTTTTTCAATCACTGGGTTAAATTACAGTTTTTTTTTAAATTTTTTTTTTTACATAATTTACTAAGGGTTAGAGCCCTTTGTTGGTTGCCATTCACAGACAGTTTAATTTACTTTTCTATCCTGAGAAACTTATTTTAATTTGCTATGTATCAATCAAGTGTTATACCCTGTGGCAGAATTTTTTTGAGCTTTCAGCGACATACCTTTCTAATTCTAATATCTTTCTGCAAGATAGTTTTAAATTAAACATAAATATACATGTTACTAATTCAAAATAACAGAAGTGTAAAAAAAAATTGGATCAAATTTAATAATTTTTTAAAAAAATATTTAAAATTTTTTTATTCTAATATTATGGTCGACATTCTCGCATTTTGTAAATCATCATGCCATTAAAAAAATCGTGAAATCCGTTGCAGTAACTACCGGAAAAAAAGATCGGCAACTAAATCGCGCTAATCCGGGTGAGGAAAATGGTTACTAAATGTGTGTTTCCATTTCGAGATTCGGTTGCTGTGAAAAATAACATCATAAAAAAATATCGGATTTTAAAAACTATGTGGAAATCAATAGTAATGACTGCATTAAAATTATTAGAACGAAATTTTCTATCCTGATTAAGTAAACATTTTATCCTGCCTGATTAACCTGATACTTAGATTAACCCCATTTCCTTATTACCCATCCTTTTTACTAGATGATGAAATTTTTATGAGTTGTTACAGTCTCAAATGATGATCAATAGTTACAATGTCAAATGAGATGGTTTTTTCCTATTAAAAAATTTCCTTTTCTGTATTTTTGTGAGAAAAACTTATATAATAACGCATAAAATCTAAAATAATAAGCAGGAATTCCAATTCCAGTAATATATAAGGAGTTGTTGATTTTAATTTTATGTATTACCACCAGAGGTTTTTGTATTTCACATATACCCCTGAATTCCATTTTCCCCCCATATACTTAAGGGTCTAAATGTAATTTTACTGCAAATTCGACGTATCTCAAGTCAAGACGATTGGTTTTTAGACTTATTATCTGTCTTAACTTATTATCTTAACTTAAACTTATTATTTGTCAAAATTTTTGACCATTTCAAATATTTGAAGCTGCGATGGAATCTACTATCGTGATTCATTCATATTCACTTGATTTTAATATCAAACATCAATTTTCATGCTTTTGTGATTTAAAAGTTACAGATAAAGATACATATTCACGCAATTTATAAATGGTACATCGCAATTCAGAAATCTAATGTTGTAATGCGATTTTTAAATTTATATCGCAATTCATATTCATAATAGTTTAAAATTCAATGCTGCGACTCGTATTCGTCAATTTCAATTATAATTTCAAACAACAATTTTCAAATTTATGCGTATTTTAAAAGTTTCGCATCCTGGTTCGTATTCTTGCGATGTAAAAATTCAACATAGCAACGTGTATTTTCATGTTTTTAAAATCCTTAAATTAGTTTTTCTTAAATTAGTGACTATAAAGGTGTGATATTCTTCATAGATAGAGTAACTTAAATTATACATCTTTGTTCTAAAAATCATATTTAGCATCTATGGTATATAAATTGATATCAAGTTTTTGCACTTAAAATTTTCTGGATTTTTCCCCTAGTATCACAATTACCTCTGAAAACCACTTTATTCCATCCGACTCTAATTACATTTTCTACTTTTAGAATACAAGGTACATTGAATGTAAAGACAAAAATATCACATTGTATGAACCAAAAATTGGACATGGTAGATATGCTACAGTTTATAAAGGTGAGTGGAGCTATGGCAATATCAAGGAGATTGTTGCTATTAAAATTCAACATAAAGAAAAAGAGATTAAAACTGTAAGTAAAATTTTTTTTTGCTTTTTCATTAATAATTTTTTACTCTGTATTACGAGGGTTGCTATTTATATTTCTGGCCTTGGCAACAGTAAGTGTTGCTAGGTGACCGCAGACGATTTTAATCGAAAGTTTGATATTTTTAAACATAAATTCAGCAGACGATTTACCATTATAGCTTCATTTGTGTTGTTGACAGTAAATTGAATAGTTCTTCTCTTTCAAAAAATGGAATTGAATCGTGAACATTTTCGTGCCATTATTTTTCATAACTTTCGACGTGGATTGTCAAGACAAGAGTGCTTCGATGAACTTAATTCTTTATTCAGCGATAAAGCGCCATCCTACAGCACTGTAAAAAATTGGTATAACGAATTTAATCGTGGTCGATGTTCGATCCAGGACGAATCCCGTGCAGGTCGTCCAAAATCCGTTGTTGTGCCAGAAAAGATCGATGCTGTGCGTGAACTGATAAAGCAAGATCGTCATGTGACATACCGTGAGATAGAGGCGTCTTTGGACATTAGTATGACTAGCATCAATAAAATATTGCATGAACATTTGAGCGTAAAAAAAATTTGTTCGCGTTGGATCCCGCATAATCTGACAAACGCTCAAAAAAAGGCTCGTGTCGATTGGTGCAAGGAAATGTTGGAAAAATACGTTCAAGGTACATCAAAGGCTGTGTATAACATCTACACAGGTGACGAATCATGGATCTATGCATATGAGCCGGAAACAAAACAGCAATCAACTGTATGGGTCTTCCAAGACGAGGCAAAACCAACAAAAGTTGTTCGAGGAAGAAGCACATCGAAACAAATGATTGCCTGTTTCTTCGGCATTAACGGTCATGTGGCAACAGTGGCGTTAGAGCAACGCAGGACGGTCAATTCTGAATGGTACACGACCATTTGTTTGCCAGAAGTCATCGGAGAAATTCGAAAAAAGCAGAAGAACAGGCGAATCATTCTTCATCATGACAATGCGAGCTCTCACACATCGACTCAAACAAAGGCATTTCTGACGGAGCGAAAGATCGAACTGATGGGTCATCCGCCGTACAGCCCTGATTTGGCACCCAATGACTTCTTCTTATTCCCACACATCAAAAATAAATTACGTGGACAACGATTTTCGACCCCCGAAGAAGCGGTTGATGCATTCAAAACGCATGTTTTGGAGTTACCTCAATCGGACTGGAAAAAGTGCTTTGAAAATTGGTTCAAACGCATGCAAAAGTGTATTGATCATTATGGAGAATATTTTGAAAAACAATAAAACTAATTTCGATCCTACATATTTGTTTTTTCATTATTAGGCCAGAAATATAAATAGCAACCCTCGTAAGAAAACTTAGCTGCCCCTACTGCTTTAGGTGTTTAATATTGACTTTTTGTTTCCTTTGTGAACTATAGTTAGCGGGTTCAATTGAAAATTCCAAATTTCTGATTATTTGAAAATTTTGTTACAGAATCATATGTTTTTGAAAATTCACAAACTTTTTACAGTTTTATATTTTTATATAGTCGTAAATTTAAATTATTATCATTCTGCTCAGTTTTCAATTTTAATAATATTTTATACTGTCTATGCATGTTATTTTGAATTACAACTTTTTAAAAAAAATTAAAGCATGGTTCATATACCTTAGGAAAAACCTGGAAAACTTGAGGATTTCAAATTAGCGAAAATAATAAAATTTTTGCTTATAATCTAGAAAAAGATATTAACCTAGAAAAATTAAAACATTAGGATCATTTTACTGTTTAAAAGGTTTTTTTTTTGTAATGTCATAGTATTCCGCTGAAGGAAATATGCTTCAGACAAAATTTTTAATATAATATTAAAATTATATGCAGATATATTTACTCTGATAGTTGAATAACTTTTTAAGATGCATTTATGAATTTATTGTCTATTTTGAACTTTCGGTGAAAGTTTTTAATTTTTCTCAATGTTTGTAGGTGGTCACCGTAAAATACAGGTAAAACACCCCCTAATTTTGATGAAAATCGGCCCAATATCGTGGGGGGGGGGCGGTACTGAGGAAAGGGCTAAAGGCCGTATTAAAAAACATTTATATTTGGTTGGACATTATTAAGTATGAATCACAAAATATAAAATGTAAGTAATTGTAGCAAAATAAAGTAAATGTAAACTAATTAGTAAATCTAACTTAACTTTTAGAGCTTTCCTCTATTTTTAAATCTCAGTACGATTGTGGCACATGCAAAAATGGAAAAAATAAAAATTTGGACGACGAAATATTTCATAAAAGTAAGATAATTTATTTAGTTACATTAATCAGAATCCCCAAATCCATCTAAAAAAATATCAGAGTCATAGTTCAAAATAAGGTCAACTCATTCTTCATTCAGTTTCATTATTGTCTATAGATCCGACATTAGAGAATTATAACATGACTATGTGCTTATTTTCAAAATAGTTTCTTACAAAAATATCCAATTACATGATTTTGGTTTACTTTTATTAGAGAGCTATTCAACAAAAGGAACTGGTGAAGAAAGAAATTACATTGCATGAAAAGCTTAACCATCCTTCCATTGTCAAGGTAAATTGTTTAAATTTATATTTTTTATATGATGATATGTAATTATTTAAACTTAACTTTTTAATAATTTTTTTTTAGCTGAAAGATTCGTTTGAAGATAAGAACAATTATTATATTGTTTTAGAATATTGTGACTCAGGAACACTGGACGAATACCTAAAAAGAAACAATATCCTGTGTGAAAATGAAGGTTAAATTAATATTTTATTTTAATTTTTAAATTACAGTTTTAAAATGTTTCTTTTGTGCTTATTGTTTTATTTTACGTAGTTTATGAAATTATGAAGCAAGTAGTTGATGGGCTAAAGTATTTGCATAGCAGGAAAATTATACATCGAGATCTTTCTCTTAAAAATATATTGCTAACAAAAGACTATAAAACTAAAGAGCTGAAAGTGGTAAGTTTTTTTATAAATTTTTATTTTCGAATGTTTTCTTGGTGCTTGTATAACATTAAAATTGTCCCATTGTGATGGGGTAGAAGTGTCATCATCTCCCAGCACTGAAAAGACTAGAAAACCATAGCTATTCTTTTTATTTTTGCCACAAATATTCGTATCAAAAGCATGGTTGTTTTAAGAGGAACTTTAAGTGCTATATTTCCCTTCTTTCTAGATAAAAACTATTTTTTTTTTAGTATACCCCATAAAGAATTCTTCTTGGATTTTTTTATTATATATATTTTTTTAATTAAAACCACTCCCAATATTTTTATTGCATGGTTGTAGGTTTCTTTCAAGATAAGGTCTTCCAATTTTGAATGTATCAACTGAAAGGCTTGAACAACTAAGCTATTGTTCTCTGTGTTTTTTAAAAAATCAAAAAGTTCCTGAACCGCTAATTTTTTCATTTAGCTTTCTCATAAAAATAGTACAAAGCATTGTAATAGAAGTCAATGCGATCCCAAAATTTTGTATGGGCACTTAAATTATTTAGCATGAAAATATATGCTGTCAAACTTCATTAAGACAAGGAAAATAGGGCGGAGCATAACTATGGGAAAAGATAAGCTTTATATAAGCTCAGTTAATTTTACATTAACTAAAAAGTCTGCCTAAATAGTGGCATAAAAGAATGAAGATCAAAATTTAGATTGATAACAACACATAGTCCCAGTAGCAGGATTTACAGAGTCAATCTGCAGCACCAAACCATCTTTAAACATTCAAATTTGCCTACAATTTTAAGACAGTCATGTAGATATTTTTATTGAAAAAACCAACCTTAATCTAACATATATTTTGCACCGTTTTCAAATATTAAATCTATATTAATGTTATGTGGAAAAAGTTTCTGTTTATAAATTTTATTTTATTTATATACAATCACGCTTAAGTTTTGCTAAAATGTAGAAAAAACAGATGTTTATACTGACCCAATAAAGAAATCTAACCTTTTAACTGAATCTATCAAACAAATCTTTGGTTTTAAAGGAAGAAATTAATAAAATTATAATTTATATATAGCGTTCTGATTTGTGCTTATTCAAAGTATCTTCGAATGAAGTTCATTATCACCACCACAGGTGTTTTGCTGACAAATAAAACAATAATCAGAAAAATTATCATTAACAAAGTATGTTTTTTCAGTATCTTTTCTTCTTTTTTTTTTTTAGAAAAAGGAAAATTTTCCTTATTTTTCATTAAATGAAGATGGCCGTTTTTTTTTCTTCACCTTTCTATTTTTTCTTGCCTTTTTCATTTTATATTTAATTTTTACCTGCTCACGTTTATTTTTTCTTCCAGCAATATTTTAAATTTTTAAAAAAAAAAATCTGTAAAAAATTTTCAAAGGGTAGTCTTTNTCTTTCTCTTAAAAATATATTGCTAACAAAAGACTATAAAACTAAAGAGCTGAAAGTGGTAAGTTTTTTTATAAATTTTTATTTTCGAATGTTTTCTTGGTGCTTGTATAACATTAAAATTGTCCCATTGTGATGGGGTAGAAGTGTCATCATCTCCCAGCACTGAAAAGACTAGAAAACCATAGCTATTCTCTTTATTTTTGCCACAAATATTCGTATCAAAACCATGGTTGTTTTAAAAGGAATTTTAAGTGCTATATTTCCCTTCTTTCTAGTTCCCTTCTTTCCCTTCTTTCTTTTTCAAACTGAATAAAAATTTTCAAAGGGTAGTCTTTTTGACTGATGAACTTTTTTATTTTTATTTAGATGAACAAAAAAACTAAAACTTCGGAGTAAAAAAGACTACCCTTTGAAAATTTTTATTAGAAAGTTTTACAAATGCTTTTTTGTTTCTTAAAATTATAAACTATAATTATAGTTTAATATTTCTATTGCAGCTTTGCACAAAGATATTGCCACTAAACATATTTTCCATTCAACAGTTTTACAAACGAAGTTTTAGTTTTTTTGTTCATCTACAAAATTTAAATAAACACAGATTATTAGGTTGGAAAAACTAATGAAGGCTACTAAGTAAATTTTTATCTGTCACTAAGGATCTTTACATATCTCACCTATTCCATTCAAAGAGTTTAGAAAAACTCATATCAGTTTTTATACCTTAATTATTAATCAAAGCTAAATTTTAGCTTATAAAATTTTAAAATAGAGGTAAAATTCCTAGCCTTTTTATTTATTTATAAATTTTTTTAACTTTTCATTCTTGTAACTGTTACCTCTTTAAAAAATTTCATGGTGTTTAGAATTAATTCCTATAAATTCCGAGTGTCTGATTTTTAATAAAGGTATCAAAAACTTTGTTACTTAAGTTGGAGATGAAATTAATATAATAATTCAATATGAAATTAAAACCATTTTTTAATAAAAAAATTTGAAAACAAAGCTTTTTTTTTTCGTCTTCAGTGTTTATAACTAAGTCCAGAACATTTGTTGATTGGTCACTTCAGTTAGTTTTTTTTCGTTTTGATTTATTAATTAAATTATTTTTTATCAATTAATTTAAAATCCTTGTTGCTAATAAAAAAGTTAATCAATAAATCTAAGGGGAAAAAAAAAGAATTTTTGGATAGGTAATTATCCTGAAGAAAAAAGGAAATGTTACAAATATTGGTACTGAAACTGTTATCCATTGGAATGCTGCTAATTTGTTGCTAATAAACACTTATTAAAAAGGATATAATTATCATTTAAATGAATATTAACTAAGAACTTCCATATATAAATTTATATATATAAAAAAACTATTTAATTATTGTGAAGAAAACAATTGTGATTCACATTTGTTTTTTCTAATATCTAAATGTAAAATCCCATTATTTCTAAAGAGTTTTATTTATTTACTTTATTTTAATAATAAAATAAATTTTAAATCAACTCTGTTAATAAAAGAGCAGCTTTCAAACTTTTATTATAATTTTTTTTTTAAGTACCAAAGTAGATAATACAGTACAAACTATGTGTACATGTTTTCATTAAAAAATAAAACATCTAAAAGCTAATAGGGGAGATTGAATGGGAGAAATTTAATTTTATGATCAATATTATTGAAAATTAACACTTTAAAAATTTTTCACTTTATCCCAGAGGTCGTCAAAGTGGTCTATATAGACCCCAGGGGTCTATTTAACATAAGCGGGGGTCGATATGAGCCAGGGGGTCGAATGGGGTCGATCCAAATTCGGAAGGGTCGATTAGTCAAAGGATTATCAGTATTTTTCATATATGTAACAATTAGAAATAAAAGAAGAAGACTTGGAAATATATAGAGGTAATCTTCAAAAATTGAGCGACAATTTTAAACTGCGTTTTGTTAATTTGGAAAACATTGACATCCCTGATTGGATTATTGTGCCATTTTCTTTCTGCTCAAATTGAAAACGTGGACATCAACCTGCAAGATGATCTTGCTGAATTATTATCGGATCTTGAAGCAAAGACGCTTTTTCAAAATTTAACAATAAGCAAATGTTTGGACAAATATAAATATAATGCAAAAAATTGTAAAACTTTACGAAATAGCTCAGTCATTTATGCTAGCATTTCCAAGTTCCTATATGGTTGAAGCCGGTTTCAATCACGTAAATTCAATCTTAACTAAGCACAGAAATGAATTAAACGTGGAGTTTCGAGGGGATTTAAGATTAAAATTGACTAATTTTGAACCCAATATGGCGAACTTTGCAAAAAAGCACCAGATACACGCATCTTATTGATTAAGAAGCAATNAATTTGTAAAAAGTGAATACATCGTGAAAATGATTTCAACAATAATATATTTTTCATAAAACTATTGTTACACTATGTACTATTACTCTAATAAAGGTTCAAAATCATAAAATAAATGTACAAACACAGTATCTAATAGAGTTTTATTATAATTAACAGAAAATTACTTTTATGGGGGTTGATGGAGATTTCGAAAAATTATGTAGGGGTCGATGATCAAAAAAGTTTGGCAACCTTTGCTTTATCCATATGATAATTTGAATCATCAGCTATCCATAGAAATGCATTCAATCGATCAGCTGTAGTTTTAACTAGCAAAAACATAGTTTCTTAAAAAGTATGTATTTTGTCCCATTCATCCCAATGATGTGGATGAATGGGACGAGTTTATGAAATGAGGAAATACTTTATTTGACTTTGATTTAGATGATAAGTAGTAATTGTTAACTTAACAATACAAAGGAGTTACAAATAAAAATATTGCAAATACAAAATATTAACAAATAAAAATATTACAAATGCAAAACATCAGTAATAGAAAAGTTCAAAGAGGAATAAAAACTTATTTAACATTGCATGAATTAAAATCAACTTGAAAACTTAGTTGAGTTATTTGTCTTTTTGATCGACCAGTGGAGATAGATTGAGGAAGTTTGCATTCGACATCCGTCAGAAAAATATCTGAAATTTCTTTTCCATGAACACATTTGTTTGCTCCTACTCGCTTTAAAAATTTTACTTCAAATTCGTCCTTAGAACGAACATTTAATACTTTACAAATATAAAAGTGAATGGCCTTTTTACCAGCTACTCTTGTTAGAAGGTAGTCTCTGATATAAATGTCTTTCTCTCTAAACTGTCAGTGATATGATCATAATCCATCTTACTTTCATCATCTTTACTGTTCGAATAAACAGGGTCAGCTACATCAGGTTCAGAACTACTTAATAGCAGCTTTTTAAATCCCTTTCTTGGCTTTTTACTCTTTGACATCTAAATTTCTTTAGTTTTGTCATCTCTTGATTTGAGCCTGGTTCTGTTGGGACTTCACTGGCCTATCTGTCACCGAGGCCGCAAGAAAGTTGGTATTAGAGAAAATTTCTGAATTGTAGGGATGTATGCCAGTTCTATTGAAAGAAGAAATTATATTCTCTTTTGAAAATCCAAATGTAAATGATTCATTCGAAACCTTAGCAATGTTATAAATGCTCAAGATTTTTCCTGGATTATTTGTCATCCAGTTATTTTGCGCAATGTGATACTTCATTTTGAAGGCACTGTAAACTGTGACATCCAGCGGTTGCATTTGATGCGTGCAATATGGAGGAAAAGTTAAAATCACAACACCATTCTCTTTTGCAAAGGAAATGACTGGAATATTAATATGATTGTCGTGATTATCAATTATCAATAATACCAGTTTTTCTTTAGTGCATTTGGTGTTTTTGACAAAATGTTCCATTGACTTCCAAAAATTTTCAGCAGTCATCCAGCCACTAGGATGAGCTAGACCTAAACTTTCTAAAGGTCCATTTTCAAGCATAAAATCCTTAAAATTAACCTGTGGGAAAACATAAACAGGTGGGATTGTATTTCCAATGGCATTTATGAAATTTAACATCGTAACTAATTGCCCCCGTTCTGCTGATGTAATTTGGCCAACTTGTTTCGTTCCTTTTGTAGCAGTTTTATTTTTTTCGTTCATCACAGTTATAAATATCTGCTGGTTCAAATTTATATTTTTGCAGCAGACCTTCTGAAAAAAAATGGACACATTGTTTTTGTTGAAGCTACATGCTCTTGCCTGACTCTTACTTTCGGGGGTGCGGATAGATAGTTCTCTTTGTCTATTTAGAAACAACTAATTATTTGACAACCAATCTTTACACGCGATTTCATTTTCTTACCATGCGACAGGTGCCTTCTCCAAGAAATTGGCAAATTCAAATTCAAGTTTCCTTGTTTAAATGGTTGTTAACCCATAACACATTTGGGAACAGGTTTTCAAATACCCACACAGTTCATTTTCTTCCTTAACTGAAAATATTCTTCTATTACCAATGTCTGGGTTGAGCTCATACGATTCTGTAGTAGTAATCTGTTTGGTTACTGTCAAATGACGACTCAGTGTTGATTTTGACGTATGAAAAGCTTTTGCAAAATTTTTATTGACATTCCTTTTGTGAGCACTTCATTGGCAGCTTCTTTAATTGTGGGTATTGAAGCCTTAATCTATTTGGTTTTTTTCCCAGTTTTGAAGCATTCTATGAAAGTTAAATGTAGAATAATTTAATTACATAGTAATTAGCTACGCTGTATATAAATATAGGTATTACAAAATAAATAAAATATTTATTTTTTATGAAAAAAATTTCTTATAAGAATTAAATTATTTGAAATACATTAAAATGCAGTATATAATAAAAAAGCTTTTAGTTTGAAGCTGATGAGTATAAAACTCAAAATTTCAACCAATAAACTTAACAAAAAAATTATTTCCAGATATAATTTTTTTTCCCTCAAGCAAACCAATAAATCAATACAACAAATTTTTTATTAAAAAAATTATAGTTTTACTATTGTAATATTAACAAATTTGTTAAAATAATGGAAAAGAAATACACTGAGAAATTAAGTTGAATATTGCAAGATATTGATCTAAAATTTTCAAGTTATATTAAGAAGGGGATGAATGGGACTGTCCCATTATCCACCAGACAATTGTCCCATTCATCCCTGTATCCACTTGTTGAAATAAATTAAAAAATAGGCCTAAAAAAGTAGTGAATTTTCTCTATTCAAATTGATATTGACACTAGAATAAGTAGATTTTTAATATACTGTAACATTATTAGCTTGAAGTATATTTTTTTTAAAAACAATATTGTAATGAAAACAAAAAATCTTACTTTTAATATGGAAAAGCACACTTTGAGGCCCTGTTCAAGCAAACATGCAAGCTTATGATTTTGGTGTCAGTCTGTAAATTAGACTGGGTGCTGCCATCTGCTAAGTGATGTATCAAACATTTGAAACAATATATAGGCACAAAACATACAGTTGTCCCATTCACCCCCTTTTAATAAATTGTCCTATTACTCATTTCTGTGAAATATTGTGAAAAAAAATTATTCTCAATTGCTGATCAAAATTTACTGGTCAAATATCTAAACGAATAAAATTTACAATATTAAGGACTAAAAATATTTACAATGAAGATAGAAAATTCCATAATCATTCTTACAGTTTTTGTGCTGGGGTATTTCTTGTCCAAAATTTCAGAAAATGTTTGGTTGTTGTCTCCGAAAAAAAAAATTGTTTTCCTCTTAAAAATGTTCTGCAAATTTTTATAAATATAAATAAAAACATCAGTTTTTAAGAAATAAAAATTTTTTCGAGAAATTATGCTGTTACCATTTTTTTCCTTTCAAATAACCACAATATATTAACTCTGATTTTTTTTATTTTAGAAAATTGCTGATTTTGGTTGTTCGACAGAATTAAAAACATTAGATGAAACAAAAAAGACAGTAGTTGGAACACCAGTATGCATGTCACCGTAGGTATTTTAAGAACATATTTGGTAGAGTTTTTAATTCTGTAATATAACTAGTGGGTCATTCTTCAGAGATGGGCATTTGTCATTCAGAATAATGAATAAAGAATGATGAATAATTATTCAAAATCTGATCTGAGAAAGATTTATTCATTTGTCAGAAATGATTTGAATAAAGAATAAATCATTCAGTATTCTTCATTCAGTATCCTTTATTCATTAGTCAAGAATAACTGAATAATTTCACTGGTCAACAAAAATGGGCACGAAATACTCTAATTGACTATGACAACTACAGATAAAACGTTAATCCTTTTCAAGTATATTTATATAATGTTTGAGGAAATTTACTTTTATCTAACACCATGCATACTTTCGAGAAATGGTTACATGGCAAAAAAACGTTTAATTTTTGTAAGTTAAAATTTTATTTAGGAATTTAAAATAAGATTATCGTTTGCTTTCAAAAACTATAAGAAATTGTGTTTTATAGATATTAGGACAAAATTTTAAAATGAACTTAAGTAACTAAACTGTTATGAACCTACTTTTTAGCACAACTAAGTATGTTTTGGAGTAAGTTAAAATAACATAAAAATAAATATTCATACTTGTCTTAGTTTTATGGTTAAATTCCTAAAATAAGACGTTTAAGAGCAAACGATGTTTTGCATCTCGTTATAGACAAATACATAACGCTTGCATTTTTCGCTGGTTATTCAAAATTTTATTCAGAAAAATTAGTCATGACTAATGAGTTTATTCATCAATCATTATTCAAAAATTTGTATACATTTGCATAATGAATGATGAATAATGACTAAATTTTCATATGAATAATCATTCAGAATAAATTTATTCTGAATAAATTTAGTCATGAATAAAATTTTCGTGCATGATGCCCATCACTGTCATTCTTGCTTTGAAATGAGTGGTTATGTATGAAGAAGAAATACTTAAATTTTCAGCAAGGCCACAGAGTTTAAGACAATTCTGCAGGAGTCAGAATTTGAAAAATTTACTTTTTGAAAATTGATTAAAAAGTTTGCTTATTAGAAGTTAGTTAAAAGCTAGCCTTTGTTGGTTGAATAATGAAAAAGAAAAGTTTTTGATCTTAGAAAAATTATTTTTATGAATATTTATGATCATGTAAATTAAAATACTATTCTAATTAAGATGTGACAATTTAAGTTACAACTGATTATATACCAGTGATTTCCCTAGACTTACAAAACTATGTGTTTTTAGTACCCAGGACTTCCAAATTTCTGGGTCTTTTTTTATTAAAAGGAGTCCTCATTAAAAATAATACAAATATAATTTATTGGGATTATTTAATGAGAATCCTTATTTCAAAGATACACATAAAAATTAAAAAAATTAAGATTTGAAAAAAAAAAGAAAAGGAAAATTTAATTGGTTATTGATTCAGTAATAACTAGACATAGTTTAAGCCAAATTTTTGGACCAGTTTCTGAGCCCAAAATCAGATGATTTTCTTCAAAAATAATGAAAGACAATTCTTGTCCATGTATACTAGTTCATAATGCTGAATATATCATTTAAAATAACACTACTCTTAAAAGAAGGATAAAACAAATACCACTTATTTCTCAAGGTTATATAAAATAATTTAAAAATTAACAAAATTTTATATATATATATATAATTTTTTTTTTAAAATTGCGCCCGCCATCGTCTTCTCAGACATAAGGCATCTCCAATACAACAGTGAAGTAGCCACAGAAGGTGAAAGGGCACAAAAGTCGTATCAGGAACGCATGTTAAGAAGAGAGGGGCAATCAAAAAGATGATCCCCAGTCATAGGCAAAGTGTTACAGAGCACACAAAGAGGTGAATTGACAAGGTTAATCTTAAATAGATGGGCCTGAAAGTATTCATGTCCAGTAATTATTCTAAGACAAGCAACTCCCTCAGGCTTGGGAAGGATGGAAAGATGAAAGTGCTGCTGGCCATCAAGAAGGCTAGCCCAGGATTTTCCATCAGCTAAGTCCCGAAGAGCAGATATTGTTCTGCGTCTGAATTTGCTCTTAAGAAGCCGCCTTGCATTTCTAAGAGGAACTAGATGAGAGGGTGGATGAAATACTGAAGCCTCTCTAGCCAACATGACAGCCCGTTCATTTCCGTAGATGCCACAATGGCCAGGGATCCACTGGAGGACTACCTCTCTTCCAGAACAAAGAAGAGAGCTGATGCTTTATTTATACTCTAATTCAAGTTCAGAGGGGTATAAATTATATTAAGAAATGGTCTGAATCGCAGCCTGAGAATCGACAAAGATAACAATGTTCAATGTTTTGTTCAGATGGTGGATTGCAAAAATTTCTCCATCAAAATTATCTGTCCAAGTGTCAAGAGGTTCTCTAAGGCTGAAATATTTGGAGTAAGCACTGGCTCCAACTCTACCAGTTGAAAAAGTGGCGGATCAATCAAAAGTGGCGGATCAATCCAATTTCCGGACAGGCTGTACCAAGTCAAATCTAGCAGTGGCATATCTCAGAAGGCCTGTAAAAAAAAGGCGGCCTATAGATACAAAGTTTGGAGTTGGAGATCTCAAAGATCTCTGCAAGTCTCCGGTACTCAAGAAAAAAAAAAAAAAAAGAATGTTGAGATTTAAGTCTGGTTTGAGGAAGAATATAGTACGGCCAAAAGTGCTCCTTTCTTAGCAATCTTTCACCAAGAGAAAGAGCAGCATAAGTTCGGCTGTCAGATAAATTATAGACTGATATAATTAAAACTGTCTGAAGCTGCATGGCAGGAATAGGGGTTGAAATCGCATAACCAGTGATGAGTCTTAGTGCTTTATTTTGAACCAAATCGAGTTTTGATAATGCACTGTCTGAGGAAGAAATAAGGATTTCTGAACCATATTCAAATACTGGTTTAATGTAAGAAGTGAGAGTGGAAGCAAGGACATTTTGGGATGAACCCCACTTTATTCCAGCGAGACGTTTCAATAGACCAAGGCGATTTTTCACGCTATCTGCCACTTGATTTATGTTTTTAGTCCAGGTTAGTCTGGTATCAAGAGTTATGCTGAAGTAGGTAGCACAATCAGTTCGTCCCAGAGTACTATTTTTGTATACCAAGTTAACATTAAACTTTTTGGTACTAAGGGTAAAAAGTTCAAAATTTGTCTTTTCTGGGTTAACTTTGAATTTGTTGTCAGAGTCCAGGTTGCCAGAACCTCTAAAAGCCAAATTGAGTGTTTTCTCCAACATAGAGATATCAGAGCCAGTAGACCAAATAACAAGGTCATCGGCATACAACAATGATTGAGTCTCTGAAACAGCATTATTAATGAAGCTCAAGAGGTCATTTACCATGACATTAAAGAGGACAGAATTTAAAACTGTGCCCTGTGGAAGGACCTGCCTGGTTTGTCGATACACTGATTGAGAGTTGCCATATTTTATGTTCAAGAATCTTTGTGAAATAAAATCACTAATCCACTTAAAAAGATTTCCATACACTTTCTTATGAAGCAATTTTGTAAGAAGCCTTAACAACCTCAAACCAAGATATTGCTAAGGCTTTTTTGAAACTTTATCGCAAGATTAGTAATTTTTACCCGACGACTAGGAATATGAGGGGTGAAATAAATCCCTCTGGTGATAACCCAGAATGAAACTGCCTTTTCTCTTCACCTTTCACTGTTAAGGAATTTCAAAAAGGAATCCGTTGCTTGAAGAGAGGATAGAGTGCTGGTCCTGCTGGCATCCTCCCTGAATTTATTTTGGAACTTGCCGTTAAAGCTAAACAAACAATCTTTAATTTTATAAACAAAACCTGGGGCGGTACTTTCGCAAGAATCTGGAGAAAGGCTGATGTTATACCTATTTTGAAACATGAAGACCCGATAAATATCCAAATATTTAGACCAATTTCCTTGACCTGTATCCTAAATAAGTTAACTGAAAGAATGGTCGTTGATCGGTTTCAGTTCTTTTTGGACTATGGTGGCCATATCTCTGAGAGACAGGCTGGTTTCAGACATGGATACAATGCAACCGAACAAATTGTCAGACTTTCACAGCATATTAAGGATGGTTTCCAGAGGAAGCAAAGTACACTTGCTGCCTTCATTGATTTTAAATCGGTGTTTGACAGAGTTTGGACAATGAGCAGAATAACATTAAGCAGCTTTAGCATAACTTGAGATTAGCAACAAATAAAATTAAATGACCATGTTTCCATAAAGAAAAATATTGTTTTAGATAATTTAATAAATCGGTAACAGTTGCAGATTGTTGTGTAATGTTACAATCTTTTTTGTCGTTTATGTCTTATTCAGGGCCGTGCTTAGGGGTGGTCAGGCGGCTAAAATTTAGGGCTGCCTAAAGTTAAAGACTGGTACATAGTCACGTTCAAGTTTTTTTTTTCTCCCTTCACTTCCTTGTCTCGTTGGGGAAATTTCTTTGAATCTTTATAAACTACTTTTCTAATTCTATCTCTTTTCCAATAGAAAAAGTTATCTTATAGCCAGTTATTGGGGCATGTTAAAGCATGATAATAAATTTTTCTGCTGGGGTGTGAAGAAGACATTGCCATTGTCATCTTCTCTCATCTTGCTGTTTTCTTTTGAAATCAATGAATAAAGGTTTCCAGCTTCAAGAAAGACACTGAATGTTATAGTTATAAAAAAATCTTACTGATACTATTCCAAATTTTGTGATTGCTTTATTAAACTTTTTAACTATTCCTGTAGCCATTGCAACTGAAAAGTGTTCATTTTCAAAACTGAACCTGATAAAAACATATTTGAGATCAATGATGAAAAATGCTTGTCTTTCATCTTTGGTATTTTTTTCTATTGAGAAAGATCTATCAAGTTCTTTGGATTTTTCTGTTTTAATAAACAATTTATCTACTCATAAAGCTAGAAAACTTTTATTATAACAAACGTATCCCTATTTTTTACTTACATTAATTTGCTAAATCTTGGATACATTTTCCCTATTCCCTGGATATATTATTCATACCAGTTTTTTAAATTTATATTTCCAAATGTATCTAATTCCTTTACTGTTAGGCTTTTCTTATTATGCTTTCTTTTTTTTTACTTATTGTTCCTTTACATCAGGAATGTACTTTTTAAAATAAGAACAAGAATTCAATGTTTATGTCATATAATTTAATTATATTATATTTTTTTTGCCCATTTGTGAATGTGTGTAGAGGGCAACTTCTAATAATTATCCCGGGTAATGTCAAGAAAAATAGGAGCATGGTTGGTATGATTTAAAAACATTTTACTTAAAAAACAAAATATTGACTTAAATCATAAATTTTTTTTCAATTATAGATTTATGCAGAAAATATTATTTATACAGTACTGCATTATCTAATATATTAATTAAGGCTGTGATAATAAATCACTGATATAATATCTCATTGATAAGTAATATTTTATTCTTAAAATGAGGAATAAATTAAGAAACAAAATATTTTTTTTATTTTATTCAAGCACTTAAATGTAGATAATAAGAATATAATATTTTAATTATAATTATTCTTTTAATATCATTTTCTTATTTTATGTGCTAATTGTGGTATGTAAAATATTTTGTTGTTTTACTATAAATAAATATATTTCAATTATACTCCTTTAATGTATATTTATATTTAAATATAATAAATACAAATAATTTTGAAACTTATTAAATATGTAGTTATTGTATCTACCAGTAATTAAAAAATGAAGACTTTTTCTGCCAAAAATAATTTATTTTTAAAAATGTTTTCTGTTCTGAAACTTTATTTTTCATTTAGCAAATTGATTTTCTGTCTTAACAATACATCAAGCTTTAGTGTTTGATAAAAGAAAGTACTAACTGACTTCACTGAATCAGTAATTTGTTTGAAATAATAAAATAATAATACTAGCCTTTTATTATTAGTAGTATTAAAAATTTCAGTTGCAGTATTATTTTAATTTATAAAGTATTTTTTCTGCATTTTATCAGAGTTTTAATCGTTAATCATGAAAATAATTTTTTAAAAAATCTAATGTCTGATATATTTTTGAAACAAAACATTATTTTAATGAATCCCAATAAATTGCCTTAATGTTTCATCCAGAGATCCTAAAAGCCTAAGCATGCCCCTAGTCTTATTACAAGATATACAGGATGTCGTATGTTGACCAAATATCCATTGCACCCTTTGTTTTGTGCATTCCATATATATTTCTTAAATAATATTCTCCTTAATTTTCAAGCATTAGTTGCCTTCTATTATATTACTAATCTTTTTATACTGGCATAATCTGTTTTTGCTATTTTAATATTTTTGTGTAACATGGAGTTTTCATTATCTAAAACATTTTTCTTCTTTTTGTAGGGAAGTAGTGATTGGCACTGAGTACAGCTTTGGGATTGATATTTGGAGTTTAGGAGTTATTTTTTATACATTATTGTTTGGAGATTTTCCAATTAAAGGACAGTCTATGCAGGAAGTGTTAACAGAAATTGTTTTGACGAGACTAAAAATACCTTCTACAAGCAATGCTGAAGCACGAAAGTTACTTTGTCTTTTGTTAAATAAGAATTCTGAAAGGAGACCTGATATTTATAGTATTATTTTAAATTTATTTTTCAAATTTATTTCATTTTTTGTAACTTTCTACTTTTTTTCTTACTTTTCTTTTTTTTCTTTCAGAAATATCAAATCACATATATTTTAATAATGATAAAAAACATGAGTATTCATCAGAAACACAAGGTCAAGCAAGGTCAAGCAAACACAAGGTAATTATTTTCTATCTTTGTTGAAATAAGTTATCAGTAGATATACAGCAATGCTATTTTTACTTCACTCGGATAAATGTCATAAATAAAACTTAGACCAACTAAATTTTTGTTCAAATGAGATCTTTTTGAAATGAATGTAACAAAATAAATATTTAAATGAAATGTTAATGAGATTTTTATCTAATTTTAGATTCTTTACTAAGTTAGAATTGAGATTAATAATTTATTTAAATAAAATAGCTTCTTTATTTTTTTAAAAATCTTGAGTTTAATTGTTAATGTGATTCCGTGTTACTTTAAATAAATACATTGGTGATATGTAATTTTTAAAAGTTTGCGTTATTGTTCTTCTGCTAAAATATAGTTATAAAATAGTTAATGCAAGTAAACTAAAAGTCGAAGCCATAATGTCTATAAAAGCTCTTTAAATAATAAAGAGCATCATTTCCATGTTCAGATAGTTTTTAAAATTAGTAAAAAAGATGCAATTATTGAACAAGTTAACATCAAAAGTTTCTTTTTTTTTTTTGAATCTTATTAATTATGTTTGTAATTGTATCAAGCAGAAATTCATTATGCTTGCTACAATCAAAAGCATACTTAGGAATGAGGTGCTTTTCTGAATTTTATTTTATTTTATTAAGTATATTATATATTTCAGATTATTTTTAATTGTAATATTTTTAAAATACAATTTTATAAAAAAGTGCATAATTCAAGAAATATTGAAAAATATTCAAAATGTATTTAAAATTTAATCAATGTATATTATTTTATTTAATGCTGCATTATAAGTATTTTGATATGCTTAAAGCTTCATTGCGTTAAAAAAAAAAGAAAAAAAAGTATTATATTCAGGGTGGCCACCCACCTGGAAAACCTTGAAAACCTGGAATTATCAGGGAATTTTTTTATACTGGAAAAAACCTGGAAAAATCAGGGAAATTTGGATAAAAACCTGGAAAAATCAGGGAATTTCAAAGAAAAGCTGGAAATTTTTTCTTTGATAATTTTTTTAATTTCACTAATTTAAATTGTTTACTAATTTTCTTAATTTAAATTATTTCATCCATTATACCCACTTTCTTTGGACGGTAATGTATCTCTGAGCAGTACAAATATCATCAACTTAGCGATACTTTGCTTGCATCAAAATTTGCACCATTACAGCTCTCTTAAACTAGAATGCCACATAAAATTCTCCCATGGTTGCTAAACGAACGTAGAAACCTTTGACAGCTATGGGCCTGTGCAATTTAGGAAAGATTGTGGTGGAGGTGGAAGAAGGGACTAGGATATTAGCTTCTGTTTTTAAATTCTGTCCTTGGGCTGAATCTATTTATGGCTCAAATTTGTTCGATGCTTTCGTAGAAATTTTTGTTCCATTTTGACAAAATGTTTTTGTATTTTTAACTTTATAAAAATTTTCCAAAAATTAGTTGGTTATAATTTGATAATAATAGATTTTATATTGCATTCTTTTTCTGAAAGCTTTTGTATTCCCGTTCAAAGAAATCCGTGAATTATTTTTTCTCAGCAAACCAACCAATCACATTTTTTTACAATCGCTGTTTGTCGACAAATTGTTACAATTGTTGCATTAATGCTAATTTTTTCTATTTCATTTTAACCTTTTATAACATATTTTAAAAGAAAGGTTTTTTTAAGAACTAACTATATATTAATATTTAATTTTACTCTTTTGTTGGTCAATATATGAATTTTGATTCAAAATTTTGTACCAAAACATTAAAAAATAAATAAAAAAATCTTCCCAAATTGTCAAAATAAATCATTTCTTTCAAGATGATATGTTAAAAAAATAAGATTTTGAATAAAATATTTTATAATATAGACACTTTTCTTGTTCACATCCGACACTTAATCAGAAACAAAAACCTGGAAATTTTATAGTTTTTATCTGGAAAACCTGGAAAAATCAGGGAAATTTGAAATCTGATTTGAGTGGCCACCCTGATATTCAAAGTTGCTATAAAATCACTAGTAGTAGAACACAGTAATTATCAGAGCCTAATATTCTCAGAATGCAATTTCTTATGTTCCCCCAAAATTGTAGCATTTTTTTTATAGCTACATTGACTTTTTAAAATTATTTTTAGAAATTAAAGTTAAATTATTTGATAGTAAAATAATTTTTCCTGAACAAAGAAAAATTTTTTTGTTGTTGATATTACTCAAATCTTGAATAAACTAGCATATGTGTTAACAGTATTATAAATCAAAATATAATATATTGAATAAATTTACTTTTCACACAACACATTAGTTAATCCTCGTTCTTCTTTCTTGTGGGATTTTTTTTTCTGCACGAATAATTTTCCATCCATTTTTTCTCTTACAAAATTTTGTCTAGTGAGATATTCTTTTATGAAAAAAATTGCTAGCGTTTTTTCTTTTTTAGATTAAAAATTTTAATAGTATTGCCGGAATTTTTTCCAAACTCGTTGGTGCAACCAAACATATTTTGCAGGCCTGGTAACACATGCCTTTACTTTATCATATTATATACACATATGTATCCAGCCATATTCCTTTTCTTCTTTTAGTTATTTTAAAATATTTTTATATTGAAATATTTAATATCTTAAATTTTTCATGTGCTCCTAAAAATTTGCATAAATTCAATTAGAGGAAAAGCATGATCATTTTATTAATTAAATTGATACAAATGTTGTGAAAATACAGTTAATTAAGGACATAAAATAATACTAAAGTATGAGATTTTTCATGGGTCCTGACAAACAAATTGGGACTCATTCTTTTGCACATTACTAAAATGAAATTTGATATAAAATTTTTATTTGCATGCTAAATAGAAATATAAAGTAATATATAAGCATATCTTCCATTAATCTTTTTTATTATGTTAGCATAGTTATGAAATAAAAATTGGTATTTCTAAATTGTTTATTGATAACATTAATTAATAGTTGAAAACATTTTTATGAATATATTTTATATTAACATAAATACTTTTGATTTCAAATATAAATTATTAATTAACCTTGTTTATTTGGGGGGGGGGCGTTAATTTAGAAAAAATAAAGTTTTTTTTTGTTTTTGAAAAAACGAAAACTTTTTTTCTCAACCGTGCGCATACATACTTTAAAACTGTTGTGTTCATGCAGTTTTGTATTAAATCTCAGAAATACAGATTTGCAGTTAAAATGCATATATGGAATCAATAATTCTTGTTTCATTCATGCTCTTTTGGTTCTTTTTTATTTTCAGAGGGGCGGTATTGGTGCTAATTTTTCGCCAACATTTTTCAATCTGTTACAATCTGGAATTACAGATAGTGGGATTTCATCAAATAATGAGTGCTATCAACCTAAACAGAGACCTATGAAAATCATTGCTAAGAACTCTTGGGAAGATACAAGAAGGTGATTTATTTATATATTTTTTAAAATTTTCTTTAGATTGTATTTTGTATAAATATAATAAATGATTTTTAACATGTTATTTTTTTTAAAAAATCTTTTTACTTTTCTGTTACTTATTCTGCATAAAAGTGTATTTAAAGAAAATAGAGGCTTAAAAAGATATTCTATTTCTAGCTGTCTTTATAAAAGAATGAGTTTTAGTAATCCAGATCTTGTCACCAGGGAAGAGAGTCCTTCCCACTTTCTCTCAACTGGAGCTTCATATGCATCTAATTCTACTAGAAAGTCCCAATGTAAACGAACCTTAGAAGATGTCATTGCAGTAGAAGATCGACGAAAATTTATAATTGATACAATACGACTGCCACCTTGTGAACTGAAAAAAAAAAACGCCATTGTAAGTTCAATATGTAATTTGTTCATTATTTACTTCTTACTCCCTGGTACTGCTAGTTCATGTTAGGCCATGACCTTTCCAACAATTCTACTCTGCAGTTGTCTTTCTAGTGTTCTGGCTTTCCTATTACTTATTTTTAGGGACTTAAGGTCTCTCTCAACCTCATCTATCGTTTTTGTCTTTGATCTTTTCCGTCTTCTTTCATTATGGCATTGGCTATAGATCTTTTTAGTGTACCTGTTGTCATCCATTATTTCTATGCTTCTCAACCCTTGGATTTTATTTATTTATTTATTTTTTTTGGTTTTGTACAGTATCCTTTTCTCTAAGCATCATTTGAATTTATTGGTTTAATCTCTTTTGCCACACATCACTTTCTCTGTGACCAAAAATGCTTCTCGAGAATTTCCTTTCCCAGGTTAATAAAAAATTTTCTTGTGTTTTGGGTCAAGGTCTGAGTCCCTCTCCCATAAGAAACTGTTAGTCTGCTAATTTGCTCATTATTAGCATTAAAATTAATTACAATTTTATTTTTTTTTTAAAATAAGAGAAATAATTAGTTTTTTTAATGTGATTTTTATGTATAAAAAACAAAGTTGATGGCTTGATTTAAATCAACCAATTTTTTCATTAAAAATCATTTATTTAAATCAAAAATTTTATTTTACTTATATAAATATATCCTTGAAGTTGTGTTTTTGAAAGTCTGATTTTATTGATGAAAGGTTTCATCTAGCAAAATAATAATTAATGGTTATGCATATAAATTATTATTTGATGTTCAAAATAGACTAAAAAATAATGTAGAAAAAATAATGTAAGTATAAAAAAAGATTAAATGTAGATTAAAAAATATGAAGCTTTAAAATTATATTTTTCTATTATCTGTATGATATTTCAATAAGGTATATAAATATAATTTTATGTTTACAAAAATACAAATATTTTTAAAACATTATTAAACTAGTAGTTTGTCTGTATAAATAATGTTTTGCCAAAAGTAATTTAATTTGTTTATTATTTATTTTATGCTTCCTGATCTAAATCAATTTATTATTCATTTTATATATCTAACTGAGAAAATGGGTATTTGTCTTTACAGATTCATGAAAATATTGTGCTTGAATAAAACTATGATTTTATTTTAACAGTGATGGGTTTGTAATAATTGCAACCATTTGAGTTAATATTAAGTGTTTTAGTTATAATATTATTTTTAAATAAAATTAAGCATTATAAATATATTTTGTCAGAACTTTGATCGGTATTTATATAAAAAAAAGAAGGAATTTTTAAAATAAGAATTATGATTTTTTTTTCCAACTCTGATAAAAAATCCAATGATTCACAATATGTTACATATTTTCAAATATTCTATACAGTTGTGGAGCAACCATCAACAGGAACAATATTACAATGGAAATACAAAAGAGAATCACTATAGCCAATAGATGTTTTAATGGAATTCAAAAATGCATAAATCTATTGTAATTCACTAAAAAAGAAGTTTTATTGCATAAATTTCTTTTAAGATCAATTTTAACATATGATTGGGATATTTGGACCATGTCTTGTATGGATGAGGTTATGTTGGGCATCTTTGATAGAAAGGTCACCAGAAGCATTTTTGGAGGAATTAAAAAAAAATGGTGTGGGGCTCAGATGAACAAATTTAGAGCTTTATCTTTCATATAACAAACCTGACATTTTAAACTTTATTAAACGACAAAGAATAAAATGGGCAGGCCTCGTTATCAGAATGGATGAAGACCATACAACAAAAAGAGTTTTTAATACCAGACCAGTTGGCACACACAAAAAAAAGTTTGGCCCAATTTGAGATATATAGATGACCAAGAAAAAAGACCTTCTGGTCTTAAAAACTCAAAATTGGAAAATGCTCTCACGAATAAGGTTTGTCTGGAGAAAACTACTTGAGAAGGCTAAAGCCCACCCTAGGCTATTGAACTATTGATGATGATGTGGAGCAACCATAACCCGTTAAAAGTGTTAATTAACCCTTTCAATATGGCAAAAAATCAATCCGAGTGCACGCATTGCTGGGATAAATTATTTCTCCTCCAAGCTATTATTAGATAATATAACTTTTATGCCTAAAAGGTTGAAGGTCTCGGAGAGGCATAAATGTCTCCATATCAGCGCACCATCAACAACAATGATTTCACAAACTTCAATGATGAGACAGCATATGTCCCACTGTAAACCCAAAGCATCTGAATCTGAAATTGACAGGGTATGTCCCGGCCGGAATTCTAGAGTCAATAGTTAAATTTTTTAAACATCTTAATGATTATTTTAGGCAACTTTTCTTTATTAACATTTTCATGTACATTTGCGTTAACATTTTTATTAACATAATTATTTATAAACCTTTTTCGGTATTAACAGTTATAAAATAAGAACAGTAAAAAATTGAAAGTAGTGGAGGAGCAACAGTATCTAAAGTCTGGGTGTCTTGAGGGTGTGGTAGGGCTGGAAACAGCTCTTGCACAGTGCTACTTGCAAGAGGTGTACACTTTTTTTTAGTGTGCCTCTTTTTTCATTTTTGTGCACCATTCACATCTGCGCTTTTTCCCCTCAATTGGGAAATAGTTTCCAACATTGAAAAATCTCGCTGTTGATGATGACGATGACATAGTTTAGGAGGAAGAGTGCCTTTGTTTTTAACTTGTTTGCATTTCCAAATGTCAGTGGACTTTCAGCAACAAAAACGAGGAATAGTAGTAAGGGACAGACGTCCCTTTATCAATTCTTAGTTAAACTGAAATTTTTTAGAAAAAAAAAATGTTTTTTTTAATGATTTCTAATAATTAAAAATATTTAATTTTCTGCAAATGTACTCATTTTTTTTAAAATAAAAATTTAGTGCTAGAACACTAATGTTTATATAAAAAATATCATATTTGCCTGCAACATGTCTAAATGGATCATTGTATATAACAATTATCATTTAATAAAATTTTAGTCATATTTTTGTTCTTATTTAGGTAATTATTTTCATAGTTTATGGCAACTATTTTCATGCACTATATTATTCCTTTATTTTCAGTGGCAACCTTGCATTAACAATCAAGGTCCTCAGTAATCTTTAGAATACCTTTTTCCACCACTTGTTGAACTTGTTATTTCATTTAAGTTTATTGTTGTAAAGCTGGTTTTGACTTCTTTACCATTAATCTATTAGACGAGGTTAGGGTCATTGTCACAGGATATGTAGTTGTCCTGATATTCCTGGCTTTCCTGATAAAAATGTTTTGTCCTCATTTGTCCCGATTTTTTGCTTTTTACTCTGTTATTACTGATTAAGTATGTGTTATGTACCATTTTTCTAAAATTACATATGAAAATTTAAAGAAAAAGTGGATTTGTTGAATAAAAAAGTTTGGATATTTGATCCAATATGTTTATTAATAGTATTAGTGGTAACCTCAAAATTCAATATTTCCAATTAAGGGATCTTCTCTTACGAGGCTCCAGCAATAACATTCTATCCACAGGATTCACCATTTAAACCTTTTTGGAAATTTAGTCATTCTAAGGATACCTCAATGATTTTCTACTATCAAATTGTTATGGTGAAGAATTCAGGGGTCATATGTTTATTATTTTAAGCAAATGACTTGTAAGAGTTGCATAATCATTCATTCAACTCTTTCACCTGATTTTAAAAATTTATTCCAATCAGCAATACAGTTATCATATCATAGAATTTGAGGAATCACTTAAAGGTACTTTTGGTCAAAAGTGTTTAGTGACATATATCATTCACAGTGTTTTTTTATTTCTAGATTATTTAAAAACTTTTAAAATTATTTGATTACTAATCTATTACTAATTACTCAATTACTAATCAATTACTAATTTTAGTTAGTATGTACTGGTATGAGGGACTATTATTTAATTGATACTGATTATTCATTTTTTTTATGTGGCAGCACTTTAAGAATTTTCCATCCATTGATTTGAAAATTGGGTTGCTCCAAGCCTTATTTTTTCAAATATTTAATGATTATGCAACTTAAGTATAAAGTTGGCTGTAAAAAATACAATTATGTCCTTTGTTGGGAGAAAACAAAATTACTTTCAGAACAACTCAATATTATGAGTTGTTCACTATTGTTGAAACTAGACTGGAAGCTGTTAAAACATTCCATTCTAAACAAAGTAACTCCTAAATTAAAAATAGTATATTTTATTCTTTTACTATAGAATTTGCTTTTATTACAAAGTAAAGCTAATTATACTTTTTTTAGTTTGCTGTTTGCTTTTTTATAAGTTTGTGGTATTTGTGTATCCCTAATTGTTTGATATATTTTGCCCAAATCATTTTATTTGGCTCACTATAAAGTCTGAAATATTATTTAAAGTTCTAGGTGTGGATTCTCCTGAGAGCATAATCTATAGATAAAAACTTTGTAAATTTATATAAAAAAGTAATGACAAATAATTATAAAAATGCCATTCACTCAGAAGTATAATTCATACTTTTGAGCTTAAACAGAGTAAATCTACATAAATGTATTCAAAGTTAAAGCTGTGTATTTATTTATTTTTTTAAACAAAAGTAGCGCTACAGAATTGAGACTTACATGTCAGTATTTTAAAAACTATATTTTTAGAATATTGCTTGAAATAATTTAGTTTTCTTTATGAATTGTTAAAATCATTAAAAAATTCAAATTTAATTCAGTAGCTTATGTTGATTAGATTAGAATTAAAAGCAATTTTTTAACAAAGGAAAAAACATTTATTTACTTATAAAATGACTACAGATTTTTCAAAATTACAAATTTTAAACCTTTGATATTGCAAGCTAACTTATTTCTTGAATTGGGAGGAAATAAAACATTATAAAAATGATTATTTGATGAGTCAAATGAGAGTTTATTTTCTTTAAAGAACTGCTGTAAAAAAAGCTTTAAGTTACAATCTAATTAACATAAGATATGTGAAAAATATAAGGAAAATCTAGTTTTTTTAATAGAATCCTTACATAATGAAACAAATTTTAAGTAATTTACTGTATATTCTACTTTTTTTAGTATAAAATTAATGCTGAAGGCCAAGCTATTGCAGAGTATTACAAAGTGATACAACAGGAAAAATATATAAAATACATTCTTACTGTTGACCCAGAAGGAGAGTATGTAAGTTCTTTTTATATAGTTGTTTTTTCTATGAATTTTTAATGCATGTTGTTACGTTTCTTCAACAGAAATTTACAATTCTTTGAAAAAAGTAGTTAGTTGTAAATAGTTGCTTAATATTTTGTAATAAAGTTTTCAGTGTCAGAAAAAGGTTTTTAAATTGTGTTATTTTTGATTGTATTTATTTTTTAAAAAAAAGCTTTTTGTTCTAAACTTAGTATGGAAGAAAGCTTACTAAAAATAAATAGATGTACATGGGGGGAGGGATAGATTAGATTAGACTTAGAGGTTGGGCAGCTCCAAAGAGCAAGGCACATTGACCAGCGGTCTATTGTACCCAAACCCTAAATCATGATTAGCATGAAAGCCCTATAGCTGAAATAAAATTCAGCAAGCACCTTACAGGAACATCTTGCAGTTCCCAGGTTTTGACGCAGTGCTGCTCTATATGCTCAAATCTTTGAGCAGAATAGATCTCATAATTAGGGCTGGGCAATGTCAGAATTTCGATATTGTGGTATATTGTGAGCTTCATATCACGATATTATGATATACCGCGGTAATTAAATTGTTATGTATATTATAAATGCTAAGACTATTTTGCAATTAAAAATTAATGTGTTTAAAGAGCATCATTTAAAAAAAATGGGGTACTTATCCTATATTAGCTCGCAGCATAATTATCCCATGGAATCAACTAATTATAAAGCATCATTATTTTAAAACAGAAAAATTTTATTAATATAAACATCAATTACTAATATAAACATCAACACAATTATAAACATCAAAACAGTTATAAACATCAACACAATTATAAACATCAACAATTATAAATATCAACACAATTATAAACATCACAAGGAGATCCGACAATCTCGGATATTTTTAAAATCAGAAGCACGCTATTCTCAAAATGAAACCAAAATCAGTAACTAAGTATACCATGGAGGGTTGATATAACGCGCGGGTGTTTGAAATCCGATATCGCCAATACCACGGATATGACGCATGCGCTTTAAAGTCAAATGATACCACAATATATTGTAGGAGAAATTTCTAGCTGCCGAGAGGAGGTATCGTAAATATTACGCGCAAGCCTTTGAGTTCTTCACCCCTAAATCAATCACGTGCCATACCAATACCTCCTAGATACCATACCATACCGCCACTTCCTCGCCGCCGGTCGGCCGAAGATATTGGCTAGCGGTGAGTACCGAGAGGTGCAGGCATACCGAAGTTCAATAACTCGGTATTGCCGAAGAATATACTTCCGAATATCATTACCGCGGTATCAAAGAAATACCGGTAAATGACGGTATTACGGTATATTGCCCAGGTCTACTCATAATCACAAAGTATATGTCGTGATGTCTCTTCTTCAAGATGACAACCCCGACAAAGGGAATTGGATTTAATTCCTATTATGTATAGGTGTCTCCTGAGAATGCAGTGTCCAGTAAGAAGACCAATGATCTTCCTTAAGCTGTTTCTATTAAGCTTTAAAAGCTCCTTTTGGACAGTCACGATTCAGATCATTAGCTTGTCTCTGACAGTCAGCAGCGCGCCACTGCTCATGGACAATTTTGCCACAGAGCTTGAATATGGAAACCCTAAATGAGGTGGGAAAAATTCCCAGTGCAGGCTCAGTGCTCCAGGAAATTGCATTGGAACCAGAGCCAGCCCTTGCTGCTTTTTCAGCTAGCTCATTACCACCAATACCCATATGTCCAGGTACCCAATGCAGAGATACCTTGTTATGAGTGGACAGATCACAGAGGACCGAGAAGCACTCCCACACTAACAAAGAGGGGAATTTACACCTTGACAGTGATAGGAGAGCAGCCTGACAGTCAGAACAGATGCGGATAGTCATATTTTGACTTCCCTTGTCTAAGCATATCCTGCAGCACAGGATAATGGCATAGACCTCGACCTGAAAAACAGTGGCATAGTTTCCCAAGGGAAAGTTAAGTTTGGTACCATCATTGGAGCAATAAATTCCTACTCCTGATTTGGGGCCAATCTTTGAAACATCAGTGTTGTACCATATTAGGCATTTGCTTTTAAGCCACCAAAGAGAATTAAACCATTTATCCCTAGTAGGAAAATGGATCTTGAAAGGCTTATGAAAAGCATATCTTAGTGACATATAGTCACTAGGCATAATGAAAGAGGGTTTATCCATCATTTGTGAAACAAGGTGACCCAATGACAAGCTTTTGGAATACCCTTTCCATAGGCCAAGGTACATAAGACGCTTTATGCCTGTCTGAGCTTCAACTTCAATGCGTAAGTTCAAAGGAAGAAGCCCAAGTAAGCTCTCAAGAGCAGCTGTGGGAGTGGTCCTGAGACAGCCTGACAGGGCTACACAGATCATTCTTTGTAGTCTATTTAGATTAGACCTTGCGGAGCTCAATCTAGTCCTTGACCACCAGAGGATTGCGCCATATGTGATAAAAGGACTAATAATCATAGAGTATATCCAGTAAACTATTTTGGGGGATAATCCCCAGTTTTTACCAATAGCATTTCTGCAGGACCAGATAATCTTCCTGGCTCTACTGATACAGTATTCAAGATGATAACCCCAATTAAGTTTTGAGTCAAAATAAACCCAGAGAAACTTAACTTTCTCTGTGAGATCCAATTTATAATCTAGGTAATATATGTTACCTAGATCAAGATGCCTTTTTCTTGTGAAGACTATATAACTTATCTTGGACGGATTAACAGATAAGCCAGAATCAGTGCACCATCTATCCACTGCTAGAAGAGCATTTTTCATGACATCAGAGACAGTTTTACCATATTTACCTCTGACAACAATAACTCTGTCATCATCATACCCGATACAGGAAATGCCAAGATCGGTTAACCGAACTAACAAAGAGTCCAACAAGAGAGACACCGTAGGATAGGAAACAAAACCCCTCCCTGAGGACATCCTGAGGTTGCATGCATTCTCATGCTTGCACCCAATAAAGAGGAACAAACATACCTAGAGGATAGCAAATTGGCTACCCACCTGGTAATTATTGAATTTATGCCTCTGTTCCCAGGTGCATCGATGATAGTCTCAACAGGGACTTTATCAAATGCAACTTCTATGTAAACTGCAAAAGAAATCTCTCTATCTGACATAGTTTTCTCAAGCAGGAAGGAGAGCACATAAAGAGATGATTCTGTTGACTTGCCAGGCTGATAAACATGTTGTGTGGTTGACAGTGGCTTATCTATGAGCACAGTGTCTCTGAAATATCTGTCAATTAGCTTTTCGATGGCTTTCAACAGACAGGAAGTGAGGCTAATTGGTCTGAATGATTTAGCCTCAAAGTAATTCTCCTTATCTGGTTTTAGTATGAAAATTACCCTGGTATCCCTCCAAGAATATGGTATATACCCAAATGCTGTACAGGATCGGAAAATCCTGCACATAATGGGGGCTAGTATGTTCACCCTCTGAATAAGCATCATTGGTATGATGCGCCTGGTGACTTGTAGGGCTTAAATGAATTGATAGCCCATATAACCTTTTCATTTCATAGGAAACCACCATCTTGGCTGCCTCCCAGTCATACTTACTACAAGTAGTTGTAGGATTAACATGAAGATGTTCATTCTCTACAGGATGAGATCTAGGGAAGTAAGTTTCAAGTAGTTCTCCAAGAGCCTCTTCCCCTGATTCACTATATCTTTCGTTCGTAAGACGGATGGCATTTAAATTGCAATTAAAGTCTTTAGTAAGAATTTTTGCAATTTTTTCGGTGGCAGAAGTAGTGTTGATGCCATCGCAGAAAGTCTGTCAAGAGCAACATTTAAATGCTCTGATAGCTTTATTATAGGCAGTTAGAGCGTTTCTGTAGGACTGCCATTCTCCAGATTTCTTTGCTCTGTTAAATAACTTCCTACATTTCTTATGTAATTTACTAAGCTCAGAGGACTACCAAGGAACTCGTCTTGGGGAGCTAGTAGACGTAACAGTACATGAAATATGATATGAATTGAGTATGATCTGTTGCACTTGGTCAACAGACCACTCCACATCATTTACATTATTGTACTTACCAGAGAAGCTCCATATCTTCCTCTCCAGAGTTGCTCTAAAGGAACCACAATCAGCTGTTCTGGGGTTCCTCCTTATGACCTTCAGTCCTGAGAGGCCTTTAATAGAAAAAAGTAATTAGTTGGTGATCTGAAGTAGTAACTGCCCCAGATAGCTTCCACTCAGTAATGCAATCTATAGAAATAGAGTTACATAAAGTAAGCTCAATGACTTCCCTTATGTTACTTGTAACAAAGGTAGGTTCATTGCCTTTATTAAGGACATACAAATTAAAATATAAGATATGTTCCATAAAATATAAGATATGTTCCATAAGTACATCTCCTCGCTGGTTACAATCACTGCTGCCCCACACTGTGTGTTGAGCATTTGCATCACAACTGAAGATGAATCTATAGCTTGAACTACAGTGGCCAATTAGAGCCCTAGTAATATCAGCCAATGGGTCCTTCTTCTCATAAGGAAGATACGCAAAAACAATGACAAAGTCAGAAATTGTCTCATTGTCATAGAATTTTAGCTTTACAGTAACTAACTAAATCCCTGTTAAGAAATTTGACAAGATTAAGGGCATTTAGATTAGACCTAGCCATTATGCAGACCCAGGGAAGGTCACAACGGGTATCATAAAAAATATTAAAACCTTTAACATTGAGACCCATGATTCTACCCTTACGGGTCCAAGGCTCTTGTATAAAAGCAATATCTAGTTCTCCATCATTTAACCTTTTAGCCATAAGGCTAGAGGCAGCAATCCTATGATGGAGATTAATTTGACCAACCTTGATTGTTGCCACAATTGGTTAGCAGTATGAGTGAAACCAGAATGGCGCCTACCTACCCTGGTTATTATTGGAAGAGAGATCTTCTTAACAGCTCTAATGCTTCGTCGACACCAAATATAGAAGCTGGTGTGTCAGGTCGTAAGGTTGCG